CTAATGCCATGACCCCCTCGATGGACTGTCACCTTGTCGTGGTGAGGGGGCTTGCGCGTTCCGATGAACCTGTAGGCACAACAACTGGAGTCGTGCACTCCCAGGAGTGGCCGCGGGGGAGGTTCCAGACCAAGCACAGTCCGAAGACCCAAAGACCTCAACGGCGGAGCAGGCGGAGGATAACATGGCACATGTTACAACGGCTGCGAAGGCGAAAGAAGGCTGCAACAGACTGAGAAGCCACGGTCATTGTGTTAAACTACATCACCAGTGGAACCTCACTCTGTGAAGTCTGTGTGTTGATCAGTTGTGCACTGACCTCCACACATTAAAAAGACCCACGCACAGGCGTCTTCCAAAGAAAATAAAAACAAACCAACCAAAGCCCCATGGCGATCAGCGAGTGGCGACGGGGGCAGGACTGTGAAATCTGGAAGCCCCTAGTCACAGACTGGCACATGGGCGGTGGGTACGGACTCAGTCGTTCTACCTCAAGGTCCGAGGCAGTTGAGTAGTTCGGCAGCTGTATCCGCAACTGAGCAGCCCTTTTTAGGACCCACTCTGCTCACCCCACACGGGGAGGGGGCTAGAAAAGGTGCCCTAAACATAGTCTGCCTCACTCATCCCTGACTGGACTGCCGCGTCCAGTGGGGTCACCACCCTGCGGCCAAAAAAGAAAAATGAACTTCGGTACGTGGAACGTCCGGACTCTGATGGATAACAGCGGCAGTGAACGCCCCGAACGCAGAACTGCCATCATTGCAAGGGAGCTGGGACGCTTCAACATCGACATAGCAGCCCTTCAGGAGACCCGGAGAGCAGGAGAGGGACAGCTGAAGGAAGAAAAAGGAGGCTACACCTTCTTCTGGAAGGGACTGCCTGAAGAAGACCAAAGAATGCACAGAGTTGGCTTTGCTATCAGAAATGATCTGGTGAAATATCTGACCAAAGCACCCACTGGCATCAACTAACGACTCTCAACCCTCCGAAATGATCTTGCCAAAAATCAACAGGCAACCATCATAAGTGCCTATGCACCAACACTAGATGCTGATGAAGACATCAAGGAGAAATTCTACTGTCAGCTGGACACCGTCCTATCAGGGATACCTAAGGAGGACAAAATCATCCTCCTGGGGGACTTCAACGCAAGAGTCGGGCGAGACTTCGACCTGTGGCCAGGGACCATAGGAAAAGACGGGGTTGGAAACAGCAACTCAAATGGCATCCTGCTTCTCACCAAATGTGCGGAGCACAACCTTGTCATCACCAACACGCTCTTCCGCCAGAAAAACAAGTTCAAGACATCATAGAAGCACCCCCGGTCAAAGCATTGGCACCTCTTAGACTATGTAATCACACGCGCCAGAGACCGCCGTGACGTGCTCCTCACAAGAGCCATGACAGGTGCTGACGACTGCTGGACTGACCACAGGCTAATTCGATCCTCGATGGCTATCAAGATCGCTCCCAAGCGCAGACTCCAAGGAAGGAAGACAAGGCGCAAAATGAACACCCAAGCCCTTCAGGAGCCCTCCAAACGAGCCCATCTCCAAACAGCACTCAAGAACCATCTACCCATAGAACACCCTGAAAATGTTGAGGAACATTGAAACAAACTGAAGACCTCCATCATCACAGCCGATGGAGAAACTATTGGATACCAAATCAAGAAACATCAAGATTGGTTTGACAAAATTGACAACGAGATCCAACAGCTAATTGACAAGAAAAGGAAAGCCTTCCAAGCATGGCAGAGAGACATCAACTGTGCTGCTAAGAAAAAGATCTATGCCAGTGCAAAAGCTGAGGTCCAAAGAAGGACAAGAGAACTCAAGAACATCTGGTGGACAAAGAAGGCTGAAGAAATCCAACACCTGGCAGATACCCATAATGCTCAGGGATTTTTCAAAGCCACAAAGGTCATCTATAGACCAAGAAACCATGGCATACAGCCTCTACACTCATCAGATGGAACCAAACTTCTGAAGGACAAAAAATCAATTGCACTACGTTGGAAAGAACACTACCAAAGCCTCCTGAACCGCAGCTCCAATGTGGCCAAAGAGGTCCTCTCACAAATCCAACAACAAACCAGGGATGAGCTTGCAGCACTGCCTAGTTTGGAAGAAGTCAGCAATGCCATCAGCCAACAAAATAACAAAGCCAGTGGACCAGATGGGATCCCTGCTGAAATCTTTAAAGAGGGAGGACCTGAGCTGACACACCAACTCCACCAGCGCATAGAAAAAGTGTGGGTGACCGAGAAAATCCCAGCAGATTTCAAGGATGCCACCATCATCACCCTCTTCAAAAAAGGGGAAAGAACAGACTGCGGAAACTATCGAGGTATCTCCCTTCTAACCTCCGCTGGGAAAATCCTCGCAAGAATCCTTGCAAACCGCCTCTGCCCCTCTCAGAAGACACCCTCCCAGAATCCCAGAACGGCTTCCGCCCCTCCAGAGGAACCGTGGACATGATCTTCACTGCACGACAGCTCCAAGAAAAATGCAGAGAACAAAATCAACCTCTGTACATGGCATTCATCGACCTTGCAAAGGCATTCGACACAGTGAATCGCAGCGCTCTCTGGACCATCCTCCAAAAATCGGGTGCCCTAACAAATTTGTGAACATCCTGCGGCTCCTCCATGATGGCAACAGTCTTGGACAGCAATGGCTCCCAAAGTGACCCATTTAAAGTGGAATCCGGTGTCAAACAGGGATGTGTTATTGCCCCAACTCTATTCTCCATCTTCATCGCTATGATACTTCACCTTGTTGATGGGAAGCTTCCCACCGGAGTGGAAATAATCTATCGGACAGATGGCAAGCTATTCAACCTCAGCAGACTGAAAGCCAAAACCAAGGTTACAACAACATCTGTTATAGAACTCCAGTATGCTGATGACAATGTCGTCTGTGCTCATTCAGAAGAAGATCTACAAGCCACTCTAAACACCTTCGCAGAAGCATACGAGAAGCTCGGCCTGTCATTGAACATTGAAAAAACCAAGGTGCTTTTCCAGCAGGCACCAGCCAATCCCTCTCCAATGCCAGTGATACAGCTTAATGGTGTAGCATTAGAAAATGTTGATCATTTCCGCTACCTTGGCAGCCACCTCTCCACCAAAGTCAACATCGACACCGAAATACAACACCGCCTGAGCTCTGCGAGTGCAGCATTTTCCGAATGAAGCAGAGAGTGTTTGAGGACCGGGACATCCGTAGGGATACCAAGGTGCTTGTCTATAAAGCTATTGTCCTCCCAACCCTGCTATATGCCTGTGAGACGTGGACTGTCTACAGACGTCACATGCAACTCCTGGAACGATTCCATCAGCGCTGCCTCCGGAAAATCCTGCAAATCTCCTGGGAAGAAAGGCGGACAAACGTCAGTGTGCTGGAAGAAGCAAAGACCACCAGCATTGAAGCGATGGTCCTCCAACATCAACTCCGCATGGGCCGGCCACATTGTCCGGATGCCTGACCACCGTCTCCCAAAGCAGTTGCTCTACTCCGCACTTAAGAACGGAAAACAGAATGTTGTGGGACAGGAAAAGAGATTTAAAGATGGGCTCAAAGCCAACCTTAAAAACTCTGGCATAGACACTGAGAACTGGGAAGCCCTGGCCCTTGAGCGCTCCAGCTGGAGGTCAGCTGTGACCAGCAGTGCTGCAGAATTTGAGGAGGCACGAGTGGAGGGTGAAAGAGTGAAACATGCCAGGAGGAAGGCGCGTCAAGCCAACCCCGACCGGGACCGCCTTCCACCTGGAAACCAATGCCCTCACTGCGGAAGAAGATGCAGAGCAAGAACAGGGCTCCACAGCCACATACGGACCCACAAGGAAATCCATAATGGAAGACCATCTTACTCGTCCAACGAGGGATCGCCTAAGTAAGTAATGCCATGACCCCTTAATACAGTTCCTTATGTTGTGGTGACCCCCCAAACATGAAATCATTTTGTTGCTACTTCATAACTGTAATTTTGCTACTGTTATCAATTGTAAAGTAAATATCTGGTGTATTTTCATTGACTGGATCAAATTTGACACAAATATGTGATACACCTAAGTTTGAATATTAGTGGTTGGGGGGGGGGGGTTGATTTTGTGATTTGGGAGTTGTAGCTGCTGGGATTTATAGTTCACCTACAATCAAAGAGCATTTTGAACTCCACCAACAATGGAATTGAACCAAACTTGACACACAGAATTCCCATGACCAAAAGAAAATACTGGAAGGGTTTGGTGAGCATTGACCTTGAGTTTTGGAGTTCACCTACGTCCAGAGAGCACTGTGGACTCAAACAATGATGGATGAGGACCTAACTTGGCACAAATACTCAATATGCCCAAATGGGAACACTGGCGGAGTTTGGGGGGAAATAAACCTTGACAGTTGTAGTTGCTGGGATTTATAGTTCACCTACAATCAAAGAGCATTCTGAACCCCACTAACAATAGAACTGGGCCAAACTTCCCACACAGAAACCCCACGACCAACAGAAAATACTGTGTTTTCTGATGGTCTTTGGCGACCCCTTCTGACATCCCCTTGCGACCCCTCCAGGGGTCCCGACCCCCAGGTTGAGAAACACTGAGTTAGACAGAGCCTCCAGACATAAGGTGAAATTGTCTGGTATTGACGTTACTCCAGACTCCAAACGCAAAAGGAGTTGGGTGTCATCCGCATATTGATAGCAGGCCAGGCCGAATCTCCGAGCCAAACTGGCGAGGGGTCTAATGTAGATGTCGAAAAGAAGAGGGGAGAGAATTACACCTTGGGGTACCCCACAAAGAAGGGGGGATCTTTCAGAGGCTTGATCCATAAACTCCACGCACTGACTCCAATTTCGGAGAAATGAATTGAACCAATTGAGGGCCTGACCGCGAACTCCGGACATGGCGAGACGGTGGATCATTAGGTCGTAGTCAATGGTATCAAATGCCGCGGTAAGGTTGAGAAGTACCAGTAGCGGTGATCCGCCGCTATCAGACTGGCGATGAAGTTAATCTGTAATAGCAACCAAAACCGTCTCCGTCCCATGACCCGGGTGAAAACCTGACTGGAAAGGGCCCAGGCCGGCTGTATCATCCAGAAATTGCTGCAATTGTCCCAATACAGCCCACTCTATCACCTTACCTAAGAATGGAAGATTAGAGACAGGACGATAATTGGCAAGGGTCTTTTGAGAAGGATCTTTTGAGGCTGAAAAATTAGTCTTGAGGATATACAGTAACTCTTCCCACATCCCAGGCCTCTGTCTGTGCATCTTCCATGCCCAACGAGAGTTCTCTTTTCGGCAAAGCCTTTCCCACACTCCAGGCATTCACACGGCTTCTCTCCCATGTGGGTTTGTTGATGTGCCTTGAGCCTTGCTTGGCGGCCTCTCTCCTATGTGGGTTTTTTCATGCGTCCTGAGGTTTGCTCTCCACTGGAAACTCTTCCCACATTCCGGACATGTGTGTGATTTTCCTTCCATGTGCCGATTCTGGTGTTTCTTGAGGACCGCTTTGCAGCTAAAGCTCTTCTCACACTTCAGGCACCGATATGGTTTCTCTCCTCTGTGATTCATTTCGTGCTGGAAGAGACTCCTCTTGTGGATGAAGCCTTTCCCGCACTCCAGGCATTTGTAGGGATTGTCTCCTCTGTGATTCATCTCGTGCCCAATGAAGCTTCTCTTGTCAACAAAGCCTTTCCCACACTCCGGGCATTTATATGGCTTCTCTCCTGTGTGGGTTTTTTGGTGTAGGCTGAGATCTCTTTTGGCACGGAAGCCTTTCCCACACTCGAGGCATTCGTGTGGCTTTTCTCCCGAGTGGGTATTTTGGTGTTTCTTGAGACCTGATTTCCAACGAAACCTCTTCCCACACTCCAGACATGTGTGTGATTTCTTTTCTATATGACTGTTTTGGACACTTTTGAGGACTGATGTGCAGCTAATATTCTTTTCTCGTTCTTCTGTATGACACTCTTGGTGAACTCTGAGACCACATTTTTGGATATAACTCTTCCCACACTCCAGGCATTTATAGGGTTTCTCTCCTCTGTGATTCCTTTCGTGTCCAATGAGAGTTCTCTTTTCAGCAAAGCCTTTTCCACACTCGAGGCATACATGTGGCTTCTCTCCCATGTGGCATTTTTGGTGTCTATTTAGGCTTCCTTTTCGAGAAAAGCATTTCCCACAATCCAGGCATTTATATGTCTTGTTCACAATCTGTGGCTTTTCATAGTTTGTAAGGTTTATACAAGACCCATAGCTTTCTTCCAAGTGATGGGGTTTAGTTTGTCCTTTTTCTATTTGGTCTGTGATATTTGCATTCAAGTATGATTCCTGACAGAAGAAACCATTCTCATAGACAAGGCTGTTCGTGATCTCCTTGCTTTTGTCAACTGTTTCTTGGATGTGGATTTCTCTGGTGTCAGCAATGCAATGCATCCTTCTGTATTCTTCTACTTCCAGTCCCTGGCTTCCTTCATTCCCCTCTTGATATCTAGCTGCTTTCAGCCACACTCTACATGGGCCTCCCTCATTTTCACTCCATTGCCCAGCACCACCTTGAAGAAGAAAAACAGCAAGAAAGTATGAGATTTATTATTTATTTACTGTATTTGTATACCACCTTTCTCAGCCAATTGGCGACTCAAGGCGGTTTCCAACAAATCAGTATACATAAAACATAATATAGATAAAAAAAACATTAAACAGTATAAGACATCACAAAAGCAATAAAAGCAACACCATCAGTGTCTCATTATTCTCAAGCATTGTCCAATTCCATTATCAGGTCATTTGATTTCCTATATTAGCTACTCTGTATTTGTAAACGCTTGCTCGAATAGCCACGTTTTAACTTGCCTCCAAAACGTCAAGAGGGAGGGAGCAGATCTGATCTCCCTAGGGAGGGTGTTCCATAGCTGAGGGGCCACCACTGAGAAGGCCCTGTCTCTCGTCCCCGCCAAATGTGCTTGTGACGAAGGCGGGACCGAGAGCATGGCCTCCCCAGATGATCTTAAAGTCAGAGGTTCATAAAGGGAGATACGTTCGGACAGGTAAGTTGGGCCAGAACCGTTTAGGGCAGGGGTCCTCAAACGTTTTAAACAGAGGGCCAGGTCACAGTCCCTCAAACTGTTGGAGGGCCGGATTATAATTTGAAAAAAGCATGAATGAATTCTTATGCACACTGCACGTATCTGATTTTTAGTGCAAAAAACACTTAAAACAATACAATAATTAAAATGAAGAACAATTTTAACAAATGTAAACTTATTAGTATTTCAATGGGAAGTGTGACCCTGCTTATGGCTGATGAGATAGGATTGTTGTTGTTGTTGTGTGCTTTCATGTCATTTCAGACTTATGTTGACCCTGTGCAAGGGCCGGGTAAATGACCTTGGAGCGACGTATTTGGCCCTCGGGCCTTAGGTTGAGGATTCCTGCTCTAGAACATGGCCATATAGCCCGAAAAACCTACAACAACCCAGTGATTCTGGCCATGAAAGCCTTAGACAATACAATAATAATAATAATAATAATAATAATAATAATAATAATAATAATAATAATCTTTATTTATGTCCCACCACCATTTCCCCAAAGGGGGCTCGGGGCAGCTAACATGAGGCTAAGCCCAAAATTACAATATACAAAGAAGCAAAATACTATCAAAATAAAACACATGAAATAACAAAATAAAATAAACAGTTTGAGAATAACAAAATAGGAAGATAGAACACAGGGTGGGCCAAATGTGCTAAAATAAGATTGATAAAATTGATAAAAACCCTGTATGAGATAAATAGAATGTGATTTTACTGAGGGGGGAGTACCAAAGGGGACGAGTAATGGGGTAGACCTTCATTAAAGGCCGGGCGGGGGGTGGAGTGCATCCTGAGGACAGAACTGAAGTTGGGAGAACCAAAATATGGGATATATATTTATTCACCAAAGGTACATTGAAAGAGCCAAGTTTTTAAGTCTTTCTTAACAGCTGCCAAGGTAGGGGCTTGCCTAATCTCACTAGGTAGCGAGTTCCAAAGCTGAGGGGCCACAACGGAGAAGGCTCTCTCCCTCGTCCCCACAAGACGAACTTGTGATGGAGTTGATGTGAGAGGAGGGCTTCTCAGAGGATCGAAGAGATCATGAGTCCCCCCAGGGGTGAGAAAGTGCCTGGCCGCTGTGGCTGTCTGGATGAGGATGAACAAACTGAAGATTAATCCCAACAAGACAGAGGTCCTTTTGGTCGATCGTAAACTGGATCGGGGTATAGGGTGGCAACCTGTGCTGGACGGGGTTACACTCCCCCTGAAGTCACAGGTCCGCAGTTTGGGTGTCCTCTTGGACTCATCACTTTCGCTTTCAATTGAGATTTGTGCGCCAGCTGCAACCGTACCTCGTGAAGGCTGATCTGGCCAGGGTGATCCATGCCTTGGTCACCTCCAGATTGGACTACTGTAATGCCCTCTATGTGGGGCTGACCTTGAAAATGGCCCGGAAATTCGCTGGTCCAACGGGCGGCAGCCCGGTTGTTAACTGGGGCTCCTTACAGGGAGATGTCAACCCTCCTGTTCAAGGAGCTCCACTGGCTGCCATTCATTTTCCAGACCCAATTCAAAGTGCAGGTGCTCACCTACAAAGCCCTAAACAGTTTAGGACCCGCCTACCTGGCGAGACTGCATCTCCATATATGAACTCACATGATCTCTCCGATCATCTGGAGAGGCCCTGCTCACGGTCCCACCTGCGTCGCAAGCGTGATCGGTGGGGACGAGGGACAGGGTCTTCTCCGTGGTGGCCCCCCAACTCTGGAACTCTCTCCCCAAGGACATCAGACAAGCCCCAACATTGGCAGTCTTTAGGAAGAGCTTGAAGACGTGGTTGTTCCAGTGTGCCTTCCCAGAATAGGAAACTCCTAGCATCATGTCCCAAATGCACTTTACTAGAGATTTAAGTCTGCACACTGCACCTATCTCCAAAAAAACCTATCCATTTCCCTTGTCATGTCCAGCATTTTTTAAATTTTTATCCATTACATTTGGCCCGGCCTCAGTTTTAAATACGTCGTGGTGTTATTGTCTAATGTTTATTGCTATTGTTTTAATGTTATTGTTTTGCTTTATGAGTTTATTTATTGTTGTATTTGTTATACTGCTGTTTTATTGATGTGTTGGGCCTTGGCCTCTTATAAGCCGCACCGAGTCCTTCGGGAGATGTTAGGTAGGTAGTCCCCTGGCATTAAGTCCAGTCATGTCTGACTCTGGGGTGTGGTGCTCATCTCCATTTCTAAGCCGAAGAGCCAGCGTTGTCTGTAGACACCTCCAAGGTCATGTGGCCGGCATGACTGCATGGAGCGCCATTACCTTCCCGCCGGAGCGGTACCTATTGATCTACTCACATTTGCATGTTTTTGAACTGCTAGGTTGGCAGAAGCTAGGGCTGACAGTGGAAGCTCACGTCGCTCCCCGGAATCGAACCTGCGACCTTTCGATCAACAAGCTCAGCAGCTCAGTGCTTTAACCCACTGCGCCACCGGGGGCTCACACCATCAATCTGTAAAGACACACAAATCAGGATGTGTGGACAGTGGTGGAGCAAGGTCGAGAGGGGAAGCTTGGAAAAGGAGATTCGCCATAAATTGGACAAGTTATCAGAATAATTAAATTCTGGTTTATAGCATGGCTTTTCAGAGAGAAAAAGACTCAAGCTTTGAAGTAAGATCGAATTAAACACTACCCAATAAAAATAAACATGTTAAGATACATGATAGGTTTGTGTTCATATGTGTCAGGAGTGAGAAACTGCAAGTCGCTTCTGGTGTGAGAGAATTGGCCGTCTGCAAGGACATTGCCCAGGGGACGCCCAGATGTTTTGATGCTTTTACCATCCTTGTGGGAGGCTTCTCTCATGTCCCTGCATGGGGAGCTGGAGCTGACAGAGGGAGCTCAGTCACACTCTCCCCAGATTTGAACCTGCGATATGTTGGTCTTCAGTCCTGCCGGCACAGGGGTTAAATGAGTGTATGGTGAAATAGGTTCAAAATAGAGCTACACAAATTCAGCTGGGACAATGGGAGAAGGTTTGAACAAAAACTCAGCCATGCAGCAAGACTGCAGAAACAGGTGGCAATTCCTAAGTGGATTTCTCTTGACCCAGAGAAAGAGAGAGGGGGGATCCTTACCCAAAGAGGCCAGCATCTTATAATTCTCTGCCATGACCTCCCAGTGTAGGGCCCGTTGATGCCGATCGAGCAGGGTCCACTCCTCCTCGCTAAAACGTACAGATACATCCTCCAAGTTCACCTACAAGAAGGGGACGTGGGCACAGAGATCAGTCATGCTTCTTCCACTACTGAGCAGACGCCAATGTATATGCCATTTCAAAGCAGATAATTTTATTCAGCTGTGTGGAAGGGGCCAGAGTTCAATTAAAAGGTAAACTTGTGCAGAAGCAGAAAACAAACCAACAAAGTGGCCTTGCAAGCCAAGGGAGTGGACAATTCCAGAATTATCTCCACTTCATTTCTGTTTCCATCTTTTTACCTGATCCCGTTCCATGGAGGCCATTTCTCCTGCTTCACAAAGAGATGAGTGATTGCAGTTTCTCAGCATCCTTGGCTCCTCCGCTGTGAAATTCCAAAGGAAGGAAGGAAAGAGAACATGAGCCAGTTTATGAGAGCTTAGAGGACAATGTATTGTCGAAGGCTTTCATGGGTGGAATCACTGGGTTGTTGTAGGTTTTTTCGGGCTATATGGCCATGTTCCAGAGGCATTTCTCCTGACGTTTCGCCTGCATCTATGGCAAGCACTACCTCTGAGGATGCTTGCCATAGATGCAGGCGATACGTCAGGAGAAATGCCTCTGGAACATGGCCATATAGCTCGAAAAAACCTACAACAACCCAGCTTAGAGAACAACCAGCATATCTATCTATCTATCTATCTATCTATCTATCTATCTATCTATCTATCTATCTATATGAATGACAGCTGCCAGTCAATGGCCTGAAGAGAATATAGACCTATTTTACCATCCAAATTTCCATCCACACCAACCTATGTGAGCCTCTGATTTAAAAGAAAATCAAGTTTGAAGTCTTTAAGCTTATTTACATAAATGACCAGGAGTTACAATGCACAAAACCTCAAAAGACCAGAGTGAAGAGAGGGGGCCAGGAAGACAGTTCCACCTTGTCTCCTGCACTGTGCTAATAATGTAATGTAATGTAATGTAATGTAATGTAATGTAATGTAATGTAATGTAATATAATATGTTGTTGGGTTGTTGTAGGTTTTTTCAGGCTATATGGCCGTGTTCTAAAGGCATTTTCTCCTGACCGTTTCGCCTGCATCTATGGCAAGCATCTTCAGAGGTAGTGAGGTCTGTTGGAACTAGGGAAAAAAGTTTATATATCTGTGGAATGACCAGGGTGGGGCAAAGGACTCTTGTCTGTTGGAGCTAGGTGTGAATGTTTCAACTGATCACCTTGATTAGCATTTGATAATATGTTGTTGTTGTTCATTCGTTCAGTCATTTCTGACTCTTCGTGATCTCATGGACCAGCCCATGCCAGAGCTCCCTGTTGGCCATCACCACCCCCAGCTCCTTCAAACTCAATCAAGTCACTTCACGGATCATAATGTAATACAATATAATACTAATATGACATTATAATTATGTATTTTATATTACATGTAATATTACTAATTATATATTACAATATAATGGTATAGTGCAAAATAGTAATATATAATACTAATACAATAATACTAATATTGTGCTATGATAATAATATTATATATTATATTATATTATATTATATTATATTATATTATATTATATTATATTATATTATATTATATTATATTATATTATATTAGTAAGCTGCTCTGAGTCCCCTTCAGGTTGAGAAGGGCAGCATATAAATGTCGAAAATAAATATAATAATAAATAAATAAGCATTCATTCAATGCAGCCAGTTACGTACAATACCAGCACAGATCTTAAAGCCGACTTTAAAAACTGTGGAATAGACACTGAGAACTGGGAAGCCCTGGCCCTTGTGCATTCTAACTGGAGGTCAGCTATGACCAGCAGTGCTGCAGAATTCAAAGAGGCACGAATGGAGGGCGAAAGGGAGAAGCATGCCAAGAGCAAGGCACATCAAGCCAACCCTGACCAAGATCACCTTCCACCTGGAAACCAATGTCCTCACTGCAGGAGAACATGCGAATCAGGGTTCTACACCCACCTATGGACCCACCACTAAGACACTACACTTGGAGGACTATCATCCTCAAGCTGGCTGCAAACCTCTTGGGGCCCCAAGGCCTCCTGGAAAGGGAAGTGCCAGAAGCGTTGGCACTGAAGGCCTTCTCCTCCAGAGCATCCTGCCCCATTCTGCCCGGGAATTGCCTAAGAAAAGGAACCATCTGTTGTTGTTCATTCATTCAGTCGTTTCCGACTCTTCATGACCTCATGACAGAGCTCCCTGTAAGCCGTCACCACCCCCAGTTCCTTCAGAGTCAAACGAGTCACTTCAAGGATGCCATCCATCCATCTTGCCCTTGGTCGGCCCCTCTTCCTTTCTCCTTCCATTTTCCCCAGCATCATGGACTTCTCCAAGCTTTCCTTTCTTCTCATGATGTAACCATCTAGATATTCTAATAACTATTTTTAAAAACATTCTAACAATCCAGCTATTGAAAACAAGTCTTACTGGGGAGATGAGCAAAGACCATTGTTCTGGAACAGCTGTTCCAGGAGCTCCAGATTTATTTGCTGTGTTTAAATGTTTGCGTGCAATCCCATGCTTGGGAATTTGCAGCAGGGGGTTTCTTGTTATAATTTGCATTTATAGGGTAAGCCACCTGCCAATTATAGTTAGGATCCCTTTTGCTTTTTGGGGCCACTTTTCAGTTAGTCACAGCAAGGGAAGCCAAGGCAGAGGATGCATACAGATGTTCCTCCTGTGCAAAGGCTTCGTCTTTTAAGAGTTCCTGGGGAAGAACAGATTAAAGGCCTCTACAGATTCCCAAAGGGTTCCAGGGAACAGCTTCACAGCCCTGAGGACCTCCGGAGGGAATAACAGCTCTTCATCTTCAGCTAAGTGATTTCAAGCCTGATGGTATGTCTGTTCGGTTCTGAGACGCAGTTCAGCCGGTAGCAGACCCAAACCAGTCAGGTTTAAGTTCACAGCAGCCTGGGAGGAGCTTTAAAGGGGAATTTTTCTGTTAAACAAAGTTTCTTGAAGATAGTGCCTGTTTCCTGTAAACAAGACTGCAAGAGCCAATAGACTATTTAGAAATCTTACAATCCCTGCTTGTTCATTAATAAAGACTGTTGTATTTAAGCTTAAGTCTCCTAAAGCCTGTTTAATAGGGAAAATTCCTCTAAAGGTTCCCCCCCGGGCTTCCCGCTGGACGCAAACCTTGCATCCTCTCTTAGAAGCATTTAATTTCAGCTCCAGCGGCAATAGAACAACCATATATGTGGAGGAACCTTACGGGCAAGGATCAAGCAAAAGGGAGGCCTCTCACCTGGTGGAATAGCTCTTGTGTCCTCCTCCAGCTTGATCCACCTGGAAAGGAAGGTCTGGCTGGTGTCTGGTGGGGCCTCCTGGGTTTGAAGGACATCTCTCTCCTGCCGCTCTTCCTGAAGCACCTTCTCCTCTTGGGCCCGACTCAGGAGGAAGCCTTCAGCCAAGGCCACGGCCTGGGAACTGGTCTCTGCCCCACATTCCCTCACCCAGCGCTCCATCTCCGCAGGAAGGACGGCCAGGAACTGCTCCAGGATCACCAGGTCCAGCATCTCTGCCTTTGTATGTTCCTCAGGCTTCAGCCACAGGCGGCAGAGAGAGTGGAGGCGGCTGCACACCTCTCGGGGCCCCAAGGCCTTCTCATAGTGGACATGCCGGAAGCGTTGGCCTTGAAGGTCTGCTCTGAAGGCCTTCTCCTCCAGGGCATCCTGACCCATTCTGCTTGGGAATCCAACACTTCTCCTGCCCCACGTTTTATTGTACTCTCCTCCTCCTTCAAGGTTGGGTAGCCTTGGCTCCTCCATATTCAATCTAATAATAATAATAATCATCATCATCATCATCATCATTTTATTTCTTGGTGGCCTCTCCTGTGGCTCAAGGTGGACCACACCACAGACAAAACACACAAAAATAGAAAAAAAAATATAAGAAATGGGTCTACAAATAGAATCCACGACATGCGGATGTGGAGAAGCGCAAACCACAGACCACCTACTACAATGCAGCCTGAGCCCTGCCACATGCACAATGGAGGACCTTCTTATTTATTTAATTAATACTTTTATATACCTGTCTTCTCGACCTCCGACGAGGGACTCAGGCCGGTTTACAACAGAGGATTCATACACAAGAGTTTAAAACATCACATCCCCTAATACACTAATATAAAAACACATTAAAACACAATCATGTAATTACATGAGGCCAAGTCGTCAGAATAAAATTCACAATTCATCACCATCCGTCCGTGTGGGCAAGAGTTATTGACTCACTCACCAAATGCCAGATTCCAGAGCCAGGTTTTCACCAACTTTCTAAAGGTCAGGAGAGAAGGGGCAGTTCTAATCTCCAATGGGAGAGAGTTCCAGAGCCGAGGGGCCACCACCGAGAAGGCCCTGTCCCTCGTCCCCACCAGACGCGATTGCGAGGGTGGTGGGACCGAGAGCAGGGCCCCTCCAGAAGATCTTAACAACTTTGATGGTTCATAGGGGAGAATCCGTTCGAACAGGTAAACTGGGCCAGAGTCATTTAGGGACTTTGTCATTTAGGCACTTTGAATTGTGCTTGGAAGCTAATTATAGCAACACCAGAGGCACTCCAAGTGGCCAGCTACTGGTCAAAGGACATTTAATAGAATGGCAAGTTTGCAAACTTTGTGTGTGTGTTTTTTTTAATACAGTACAACTGTTTGGTTCACTCCTGACACAATAAATAAATAAATAACACACATATTAAAATGTACTTCTATAAAGATACATATTAAAATGTATTATTATAAAATGCACCTTAAATACACTGGAAAAAAATATTAAAACACAGGACACGAGTTTATAGTTTTTGCTTAAAACTGTCTAGGTAAGCTTCTCGGAAAAGATAGGTCTTCAAATGTGTCTTAAATTCCGACAGCTGATCTAGGTGTTGAGCTCTTCTGACAGGTCATTCCACAGTCATTGGGCGGGTGATGAAAAGGTCGTCTGAGTGAAGGCCGCAAGTCGTGTTCTGGCTGGTTGGAGTAACTGGGGTCCTCTGAAGAGCCCCCCCCCCCCCCCAAAGGACCTCAGTGTTGATAGAATCATAGAGTTGGAAGAAATCTCATGGGCCATCCAGTCCAACCTCATTTGGCCAAGAAGCAGGAAAGGGAAGAAGGAAAAAAGAAAGAAGGGAGGAAAAAACAAAAAGGTAGGAAAAAAGGAAGGGAGCGTGAGGGAGGAAGGAAAGGAAGAAGAAGGGAAAGATGGGAGGAAAGGAGGAAGAAAAGAAAGGGAGAAAGGAGGAAAGGAAGAAGGGAAAGAAGGGAGGAAAGGAGGAAGAAAGGAAGAAGGAATTGAGGGAGGGAGGAAAGGAAGAAGTGAAAGAGGGAGGAAAGAGGAAGAAAGAGGAAGAGAGGGAGGGAGAAAGGAGGAAAGGAAGAAGAAGGGAAAGAAGGGAAAGAGAAGAAAAGGAAAGGAGGGAGGGAGGGAGGAGGAGGAAGAAGAAGGGAAAGAGAAGGAAGGAAAAAGAAGGAAAGAAGGGAGAAAGGAAAGGAAGAAGGGAGGAGGGAGAAAAAGGAAGGAAGAGAAGGAAAGAAGGAGGAAAGGAGGAAGAAGGAAGAGGAGGAAGGAAAAAGGGAGAAGGGGGGGAAGGAGGAAGAAAGGAAAGAAAAAAGAAAGGAAGGGAGAAAGGAAAGGAAAGGAAGAAGGGGAAGAGGGGAGGAAAGAGGAAGAAGAAGGAAGAAGGAAGGAAGGAGAAAGGAGGAAAGAGAAAAGGGAAAGAGGGAGAAAGAGGAAAAGGAAAGGAGAGAGGGAGGGAGGAAAGGAAGAAAGAAGGGAGGAGAAAGGAGGGAAAGGAAGAAGGGAAGAGGAAGAGAATAAAGGAAAGGAAGAAGAAAGGAAGGAAGTAAGAGAAGAAGAAGGGAAAGAAGGGAGGAAAGGAGGAAGGAAGAAAGGAAAGGAGGAAGGGAGGGAGGATGGAAGGAAAGGAAGAAGAAGGGAAAGACGGGAGGAAAGGAGGAAGAAAGGAGGAAGAAGGAAGGAAGGAAGGAAGGAAGGAAGGGAAGAAGAAGGGAAAGAAGGGAGGGAAAGAGGAAGGAAGGAGGGAAGGAGAAAGGAAAAACAGAAAGAAGGAAGGAGAGAAAACCTCCCTCCCAGTGGGCGCTGGGGGGGGGGGCGCTTTGGCCGTCCACGTGCCCTTAGTCTCCGCCTCCCTCCTTGCCAAGGGATGCTGGGAATTGTAGTCCCCATGTTGTTCCCCGGTAGGCCTTGGTTTCCTCTCCCTCCCCAGCCTTCTCTTCCTTCCTTCCTTCCTCCTTTCCTCCAAGCAGAGTAACGAAGAGGGAGGGGTCTTTTCCCCTAGCTCCTGGCCTGGGGTCCCCCAAAAACCCAAAGGAGGGGGAAAGAAAGAGGACTCACCGCAGAGCCCCCCTTGCCAAAGGAAAGCAGCCAGAGCAGCTGCCGCAACTCTTCTTGCCAGCTTGCTAATGCTACAGCTGCTGTGGGCGGGGCCTCTCCTCCCCGGGCACGCCCCCTCCCCCTCCCTTCTCTCATGCCTCCACTCATGTATATAATTCCTATGTATATAATTCAGATTGCTTACTGTATTGTATATGTGTGTATTGGTTTGCATTTTTTGACTCTTGTAACTCTTTGTTGTGGGAGGGGCTGCAGACCATGTGATCAGGTCTGGGCTTGTTCAGGGCTCAGACTCCATTTTATAACAACAAGACAGCAGGAGACGATGGGATCCCAGCTGAACTGTTTAAAATCTTAAAAGGTGATGCTGTCAAGGTGATGCATGCCATTTGCCAGCAAATATGGAAAACACAAGAATGGCCATCAGACTGGAAAAAATCAACTTATATCCCCATACCAAAAAAAGGGAAATTGTAAAGACCGCTCAAACTTTCATACAGTGGCTCTTATTTCACATGCCAGTAAGATAATGCTGCAAGGAAGACTCCAGCAATACATGGAGAGAGAGTTACCAGATGGTTCAAGTTGGGTTTAGAAAAGGCAGAGGAACGAGAGACCAGATTGCCAATATCCGCTGGATAATGGAGAAAGGCAGGGAGTTTCAGAAAAACATCTACTTCTGTTTTATTGACTATTCTAAAGCCTTTGACTGTGTGGATCATAATAAATTGTGGCAAGTTCTTGGCGGGATGGGCATACCAAGCCACCTTGTCTCTCTCCTGAGGAATCTGTACAAGGACCAAGTAGCAACAGTCAGAACTGACGATGGAACAACAGACTGGTTCAAGATTGGGAAAGGCGTACGGCAAGGCTGCATCCTCTCACCCAACCTTTTTAACTTTTATGCAGAACACATCATGCGATGTGCGGGGCTTGATGAATGCCAAGGCTGGAGTTAAAATTGCTGGAAGAAACATTAAGAACCTTAGATATGCAGATGATACCACTTTGATGGCCGAAAGTGAGGAGGAGCTGAGGAGCCTTCTAATCAAGGTGAAAGAAGAAAGTGCAAAAGCTGGGTTGCAGCTAAACGTCAAAAAAACCAAGATTATGGCAACAAGAATGATTGACAACTGGAAAATAGAGGGAGAAACCGTGGAGGCCATGACAGACTTTGTATTTCTAGGTGCAAAGATTACTGCAGATGCAGACTGTGGCCAGGAAATCAGAAGACGCTTCCTTCTTGGGAGGAGAGCAATGTCCAGTCTCGATAAAATAGTAAAGAGTAGAGACATCAGACTGGCAACAAAGATCCATTGCCTAGTCCAAGCCATGGTATTCCCTGTAGTCACCTACGGATGTGAGAGCTGGACCTTAGGGAAGGCTGAGCGAAGGAAGATCGATGCTTTTGAGCTGTGGTGTTGGAGGAAAGTTCTGAGAGTGCCTTGGACTGCGAGAAGATCCAACCAGTCCATCCTCCAAGAAATAAAGCTCGACTGCTCACTGGAGGGAAGGATACTAGAGACAAAGTTGAAGTACTTTGGCCACATCATGAGGAGACAGCAAAGCCTAGAGAAGACAATTATGCTGGGGAAAGTGGAAGGCAAAAGAAGAGGGGCCGACCAAGGACAAGATGGATGGATGGCATCCTTGAAGTGACTGGACTGACCTTGAAAGAGCTGGGGGTGGTGACGGCCGACAGGGAGCTCTGGCGTGGACTGGTCCATGAGGTCACAAAGAGTCGGAGACGACTGAACGAATGAACAACAACAACAGGAACAGTATGCTTAGAGACGCTGCTGGACTTCAAGACTAAGAGACTCTATTGGACTTCCAGACAAGGCAGAGACTCTATTGGACTTCCAGACTAGACAGAGACTCTACTGGACTTCCAGTCTAGACAGAGATTCTATTGGACTTGCAGACTAGACAGAGACTCTATTCGACTTTCAGACTAGACAGAGACTCTAATGGATTTCCAGACTAGACAGAGACTCTATTGGACGTTCAGACTAGACAGAGACTCTATTGGACGTTCGGAGTAGACAGAGACTCTTTGACTTTCAGACTAGACAGAGATTGTATTTCACTTTCAGACTAGACAGAGACTCTATTGGACTTTCAGACTAGACAGAGACTCTATTACACTTTCAGACTAGACAGAGACTCTATTAGACTTCCAGACTAGACAGAGACTCTATTGGACTTACAGACTACACAGAGACTCTATTGGACTTACAGACTACACAGAGACTCTATTCGACTTTCAGACTAGACAGAGACTCTATTCGACTTTCAGACTAGACAGAGACTCTATTGGATTACAGACTACACAGAGACTCTATTGGACTTCCAGACTAGACAGAGACTCTATTGGACTTCCAGACTAGACAGAGACTCTATTGGACTTTCAGACTACACAGAGACTCTATTGGACTTTCGGACTACACAGAGACTCTATTGGACTTCCAGGCTAGACAGAGACTCTATTGGACTTCTAGACTAGACAGAGACTCTATTGGACTTTCAGACTAGACAGAGACTTTATTGGACTTCTACACTAGACAGAGACTCTATTGGACTTCCAGACTAGACAGAGACTCTTGAACTTTCAGACTAGACAGATTACTGGACTTTCAGACTAGAGAAAGACTATTGGACGTTCAGACTAGAGACTCTATTGGACGTTCAGACTAGACAGAGACTCTACTGGACTTTCGGACTAGACAGAGACTCTATTGGACTTTCAGACTAGACAGAGACTCTATTTGACTTCCAGACTAGACAGAGACTCTATTGGACTTCCAGACTAGACAGAGACTCTACTGGACTACCAGATTAGACAGATATTCTACTGGACTTCTAGACTAGACAGAGACTCTATTGGACTTTCAGACTAGACAGAGACTCTATTGGACTTCTACACTAGACAGAGACTCTATTGGACTTCCAGACTAGACAGAGACTCTTGAACTTTCAGACTAGACAGACTACTGGACTTTCAGACTAGAGAAAGACTATTGGACGTTCAGACTAGAGACTCTATTGGACGTTCAGACTAGACAGAGACTCTATTGGACTTTTGGACTAGACAGAGACTCTATTAGACTCTCAGAACAAAAGGTATGCTTTAAATCAGTGTTTCCCTATCCATGGGTCATGAGATGTAAAACAAGGTCCACAAGAGGGAAAGAAGGAAGTAAGGAGATGCCAGTGGGCTGCCCTCGCCAGCACTTTCTTGGCCTTGGAGGCTTCCCAGGTGATGGTGTAGAAGACTCACCTGGCGGCATGCTCGAGGAAGCAAGAGGAGAGTGCACCAAAGTTGTTATTATTATTATTATTGTTGTTGTTATTATTATTATTATTAAAAGGTAGTTTCCCCTTGACATTAAGTCTAGTCGACTCCAACTCTGGGGGCTGGTGCTCATCTCCATTTCTCAGCTGAAGAGCCAGCATTATCCGTAGGCCCCTACTGGATTATGTGCCCGGCATGAACGCATGGAGCACCGTTACCTTCCCACCAGACCAGTACCTATTGATCTACTCACATTTGCATGTTTTCGAACTGCTAGGTTGGCAGAAGCTGAGGTTAACAATGGCAGTTCATTCCGTCCATGGATTCGAACCTTCCAGTCAGCAAGTTCTGCAGCTTAGTGGTTTAACCCATTGCGCCACCAAGGCCTATTATTCTTATTATTCTTATTATTAGCTCCCATTGCCACATATCAGATGTAATGGGAAAGCATCCCTTTGTGAGACCCTGTTTAGTCCCACACAGTAGTAGTAGTGTAGTAGTAACAATTAAAGTCGTTAGGGACAGTTACTTGGGTCTCGCACTGCTTTTTGTATTCTTTTTCAATCTCAGCCCCCTCCCCTTCTTTCTTTTTTACATGAGCAGAAACAAGATAATTACACAACCTAACCAAAAATAATTTTTTTCTTGGCGTTTTCGTTTTTAGGCCTGCTCCTGGGGTTATTTGCGGTACTGATTAAAAAAATTGCATTGGATAGATCACATCAGTTCTAGATTATTAAATATGATTTTCTGTGGGCAAGTAGATGGCGACTACTGGATGGCATATGTTCTGTATCAGAAACTAGAACTGATGTGGTCTATCCAATGCAATTTTCTGAATTAGCACCCTAAATTACCAAACTGAATCTAAAGTTGACCAAAAACCAATTCGTAACCCTTTTGGGATTGGTCCCTGGTTAAAGTGGTCCTTGGTCAAAAAAAGGTTGGGAATCATTGTAGTGCAGAGGAAATGCAGCACAAAACAGGTAAGGCAGCAGTCACAAATATTTGGCTAATCTAAACAAATTCAGTCTTAGGACTAGAACAGTGTTTCTCAACCTTTCTAATGCCGTGACCCCTAAATACAGTTCCTCATGTTGTGGTGACCCCCAACCATATTTTTGTTGCTACTTCATAACTGCAGTGTTATGAATTGTAATGTAAATATCTGAGATGCAGGATGTATTTCCATTCTTACAGATAGAACATAATTAAAGCATAGCGATTAATGATAAAAAAAACTATGTTTGGGGGAGTATGGACAATGGATGAAGGGATCTGAAGTACCTTCACCCGATTCAGCTCTGACTTCCACAGCCCAATGAGATCCCCCCCCCCCCCCACAAATTACAGCCAGGCTCTTTCTCTCCTCTCTTTACTTTCCTTCCCTGTCTCTCTCTCTTACACTCACACTTCCAGTCTCCCTACTCTCTTTCCTAGCCTTCCTCTCTCTCTTACACACGTGTCTAGGACTGTGTGATGTATTGGTGAATGGTGCGTGCAGATCCCAGTAGCTTCTGCGAAGGCCTCGGTATCTGTTTGGCGCGCTGTTGAGGGTGCATGGGATCGCAGGAGAAGGAGTGGCCTTACAAGACATGCTGCAACCCCTCGAGAATTGCCAAGCGACCCTTCTGGGGGTCGCAACCCCCAGGTTGAGAACTGCTGGACTAGAAGAACTACATCCAAAGGTATTAAAGGAACTGGCAGAAGTAATTTCAGAACCATTCCTGGACTGGAAGGCAAATGTCCCTCCCTTCAAAACGGAAAGGTAGAGGGAAGAGATTACAGTCCAGTCATCAACATCAGGAAATATTCTCGAGCGGATAACACAAGTCAACAAAATCAAACTTTTTGTAATAATCAGAAATGAGAGCAGCAGTTTAAATCATTTTTATGCTGATTTTACACATCTTAATTTTTTTATCATGTCAACTTTTTAAAATATGGTGACTTACAGCAGACTACATCATATCCGTTTAACACAAGTCAACAAGTATTTTTCATCAGATATAATTTTAGAGCTTTCTGTGCCAAGTTTGGTTCAATTCTATCATTGGTGGAGTTCAGAATGCTCTTTGATTGTAGGTGAACTATAAATCCCAGCAACCACAACTCCCAAATGTCAAGGTCTGTTTTCCCCAAACTCCACCAGTGTTCACATTTAGGCATATTGAGTATTCATGCCAAGTTTGGTCTAGATATATCATTGCTTGAGTCCACAGTGCTCTCTGGATGTAGGTGAACTATAAATCCCGGCAACTGCAGGTCAATGCCCACCAAACCCTTCCAGTATTTTCTATTTGTCATGAGAATTCTGTGTGCCAAGTTTGGTTGAGCTTAAAATGCTCTTTGATTGTAGGTGAACTATAAATCCCAGCAACTACAACTCCCAAATGATAAAATCAAACCACCACCCCACCCCCCCAACCCCACCTGTATCAAGAGATCGCTGCATTAGGAAAGCTGAGAAACACTGCTCTATAGGAATGATCTAAAATTATATCTGATGAGGAAAAAAATGTGACTGTGGAGCAGAACAGACAACTCCGCTTGTCCACTATGCCCTGCCTCATGTACAGAGGAAGAATTGTAGGAGGCTACAGACAATGCCATTGCTGTTGCCCGTTTCTGGTCAAAAGATATTTAGCCACCTACGCCCCTTCTATTTTTATCGGTTTTATACTAATTTATGCAATGCTTTTGATATGAAATAAATACTTGATAATAATAATAATAATAATAATAATAATAAAAAAAAATAAAACTTTATTTATATACTGCTGGAGACTACAGACAATGCCATTGCTGTTGCCCGTTTCGGTCAAAAGATATTTAGCTGCCTGGTTCAATTCCATCATTGTTGGAGCTCAGGATGCTCTTTGATTGTAGGTGAACTATAAATCCCTCCCAGCAACTACAACTCCCAAATGACAAAATTAACCCCCCCCCCCAATCCGAGGAGACTCAGAGCGGTTCCCAAATGGAAAATACTTTGTTGGCTTGTGTAATTACGGAGATAATTTGGTTATTTTGCTGCGACTGGTGACTTGCTCTCCAAAAGAATGTCTTGTGTGTGGTTTCTCTTCTATGCAAACCATTTTTGGGGATTGGTTTGCAGCAAAATTCTTTCCACACTTTCCTGTTTGGCTCTTTTGGTGATTTCTGAGACCAGACTTAAGGACATAGCTCTTCCCACACTTCGGACACGGATAGGGCTTCTCTCCTCTGTGACTCATTTCATGTCCAATGAGATTCCTCTTTTCAACAAAGCCCTTCCCACACTCCAGGCATTTATAGGGTTTCTCTCCCATGTGGTTTTTTTTGTGCCTACTGAGGTGTGCGCTACGATAGAAGCTTTCCCCACACTCCAGGCATTTATAGGTTTTCTCCCCTGTGTGGGTATTTTGGTGTATCCTGAGACTTGATCTCCACGAGAAACTCTTTCCACACTCCGGACATTTGTGTGGTTTCTCGTCTATATGACCGTCCTGGCGGTTTTTGAGGACTGATTGGCAGCTCCCGAACTCTTCCATATGGCTCTTCTGATGGATTTTGAGACTGCATTTTTGGATATAACTCTTCCCACATTCCAGGCATTTATACGGTTTGTTTCCTCTGTGATTCATCTCATGTCCGATGAGACTTCTCTTGTCGGCAAAGCTTTTCCCACATTCGGGGCATGTATACGGTTTCTCTCCCGTGTGGGTGTTTTGGTGTCTCTGGAGTTTCCCCTTTTGGCAGAACCCTTTCCCACACTCCAGGCATCTGTATGGCTTCTCTCCTGTGTGGGTTCTACGGTGTCTGTTGAGGTCTCCATTTCGATGGAAACATTTCCCGCAGTCGGGGCATTGATACGGCTTCTCCCCCATGTGCTTTTTTTGGTGTGCCTTGAGACTCGCTTTCCAACGGAAAGCCTTCCCGCACTCCGAGCATGTGTATGAGTTCTCTTCAGTATGACTATTCAGGTGCCGTTTGAGGACAAATTTGCTGCTGAAGCTCTTCCCACACTCCGGACATTGATAGGGTTTCTCTCCTCTGTGATTCATTTCGTGCGCCACGAGATTCATCTTGTCAGCAAAGCCTTTGCCACACTCCAGGCACTTATACGGCTTCTCTTCCATGTGTGTGAATTGGTGCCGACGGAGGTTTCTTCTTTGATGGAAGCGTTTCCCACACTCCAGGCATTTGTATGGTTTCTCTGCCATGTGAGTATCTTGGTGCCTTCGGAGGTTTTTTTTCCGATGGAAGCGTTTCCCACACTCCGGGCATTTATATGGCTTGTCCACAATTTGGGATTTTTCACTGTGTCTAGATCCAAAGTTTTCTTCCAATTGATAACATTCAGGTTGTCCTTTCTCTGTTTGGTTTGTGACATCATCATTCAGGCATGATGCCTTGTGGAAGAAGCCATTCTCATAGACAAGGCTGTCCCTGATCGCCCTGTGTTCATTTATTGTTTCTTGAATTGTGATTTCCGTGGCGTCTGCGGGGCACTGTTTCCTTTTATATCCTTCTGCGTCCATTTCCAGTCTTCCCTTGCCCTCCTCTTTACACCTTGCTGTTTTCAGCCACACGTTGCATGGTACTCCGCCATTTTTACTCCCTTGTCCATCACCACCTTGAAAGAAGAGAGACAAGAAGTATTTATTTATTTATTTATTTCTCTTGAAACGTTCAAAAAGAACCTTAAAGCCTGGCTCTTCTGCTGTGCCTTCGGTGAGTAGGTGCACAATATGACATCATTGTACCCCGCAACGCTCTTCCCACTGGAATACACGCCCTCCAAATGGGAAGTTTAGCTTCACAACTGTATGTTTTTACTAGTTCTCTGCAGATAACTTGCTCCTATTTTTATCTCATTAGAGTCTCAGAATAGTTTTTATCCTGTACATGTGGCCCGCACATTGTTATTGTGTTTGTGCCTATTGGAAAGTTATTTTATGACTGTGTTTATAATTTTTTTTCTTGATGTAATTTGATGATGTTGTTTATTGTTTATGCTCTGGTTTTATTTTGTTGTAATATGTTGTCCGGGCTTGGCCCCATGTAAGCTGCTCCGAGTCCCCATCGGGGAGATGGTGGCGGGGTATAAATAAAGATTATTATTATTATTATTATTATTATTATTTACTAGCCAACCCCTGCCACATGTTGCTGTGGCTGAGTCTGTGTATATGTGTTTTGCGTGTATATATATATATGTGTGTGTGTGTGTATTTGTGTATATGTGTATATATGTGGTTATGCCATTCGTTGTAATGTATTTTTTTATTTTTTGGCTTTTAAAGTCTGTTCCACTGTGTTTTCCAGTATTTTCAGTAGTTTCAACAATATGGGTCATTTAGAACTGACCTCCAAAGCTGTTACGATAAACCGCTATATTAAACCATGTTCAAGTAAGCATTGAGTAAATATCCCAGTGAAGACCAACTCTTCAGAAGTAGCACCCAGAGGGGAATCGTTTCTTCCAACCTGGTCAGGGACCAGAAGTGCTGGTGATTAGTGATGCTGAACTATGTGGCAAAACTGTCAAAACAATTGGGAATTCCCCAAACTGATTTTTATTGACCAAGAGGCTGTGGGATACTTACCCAGAGAAGCCACCATCCTATAATTTTCTTCCATGACCTCCCAGTGCAGGGCCCGTTGATCCGGATCCAGTAAAGCCCACTCCATCTCACTGAAATGGACAGACACGTCCTCAAACATCATCTGAAAGAAGAAATTTTGGATACACAGATCATTAATGTTTCTTTAATCCTCCAGGAAGTAGCAACCAATAGTGAAAGGACCAAGGCAGTGACCTCTCCAGCTCATTCTCTGTTTGGGTATCACCCAGCACGGCAATGACTTAAATCAAGAAATAGTTTTCTAAGATCTACAGAGACACTCGCTGGACACCTCAGCAAGCGAGAGTCCAAAAGTGGCAGGCTCAAACCCAGAACCTCAATCAGTGGCTGATACCAAATGAGAGACTCCCCGCTGGGCAGACAGAAGACTGGGCGACTTGGAAGGCGCTGAACAGACTGCGCTCTGGCACCACGAGATGCAAAGCCAATCTTAAGAAATGAGGCCACAAAGTGGAATCCACGACATGTGAGTGTGGAGAAGAGCAAACCACAGACCACCTGCTGCAATGCAACCTGAGCCCTGCCACATGCACAATGGAGGACCTCCTTGCGGCAACACCAGAGGCACTCCAAGTGGCCAGATACTGGTCAAAGGACATTTAATCAACTACCAAGCTTGCAAACTTTGTGTTTTGTTTGTTTCTTTGTTTTGTTAAAAATGCAATACAACTGACACAATAAATAAATTAATGCTTCTTCTACTACTAGGCAGAATCTAATCATAAAATCATAGAGTTGGAAGAGACCTGTTGGGCCACCCAGTCAAACCCTTTTCTGTCCAAGAAGCAGGAAAATCCATTCAAAGCACCCCCCAAAAGATGGCCATCCAGCCTCTGCTTAAAAGTCCCCAAAGAAGGAGCCTCCGCTACACTCCAGGGCAGAGAGTTCCACTGCTGAACAGCTCTCACAGTCAGGAAGTTCTTCTTCATGTTCAGGTGGAATCTCATTTCCTGTAGTTTGAAGCCATTATTCCATGTTCTAGTCTTCAGAGAAGTGACCAGTGAGTTGTCTCCAGGTTCTGTCCTATTCAACAACTTAGACAATGGAATATGGGACATGCTTATCAGATGTGCAGGTGACACTACATCAGGCAGGATAGGTAATAACCAACAGGACAGGATCAGAATTCAAAATGGCATTAATAGATAAGAAAGCTAGGTCCAAACTAGCTAAATTAATTTCAGAGTGAGTAACACCTGGTTTGAAAACAGTCCTTGTGAAAATGATCTAGACTTAGTACATCACAAGCTGAACATGAGTCAACAGTGTAATGCAGCAGCTAAAAAAGCCAATATGATTCTGAGCTATATCAATAAAAGTAATGTGTCTAGACTGTGGTAAGTTATAGTCCCATTCCGGTGTGGTTTTTCCACAATATACAACCATGTTGATCCTAGGAAAGTTTGAAAACAAAGTGCAGTTTGAAATGCAAACAACCTTCTGTGCTCCAATCTATATAAATAAAAATGTAATGTTTGTTTGTGGAATTAACTTAACTCAAACACCACTGGACGAATTGCCACCAAGTTTGGACACAAGACACCTAACAACCCAATGTATGTCCTTCACTCAAAAAATTGATTTTGTCATTTTGGGAGGTGTAGTTGCTGGGATTTATAGTTCACCTACAATCAGAGAGCATTCTGAACTTCGCCAATGATGGAATTGAACCAAACTTGGCACACAGTACTCCCATGACCAACAGAAAATACTGGAAGGGTTTTGTGGGCAGTGTCCTTTGGTTTTGGAGTTGTAGTTCACCTACATCCAGAGATCACTGTGGACTCAAACAATGATGGATCTGGACCAATCTACGAATACTCAATATGCCCAAATGTGAACACTGGTGGAGTTTGGGGAAATAGAATCTTGACATTTGGGAGTTGTAGTTGCTGGGATTTGTAGTTCACCTACAATCACAGAGCATTCCGAACACCACTAATGATAGAATTGGGCCAAACCTCCCACACAGAACTCCCATGACCACCAGAGTGGGCCACAGCAATGCGTGGCAGGGGATGGCTAGTTTATATAAATAAAACTGTAATGTTTGTTTGTGGGATGAACAGAACTCAAAAACCATTGGATGAATTGACACTAAATTTGGACACAATACACCTATCAGGCCAATGAGTGATCATCACTCATAAAAACACTGAAAAACACAGCAGAAGGGACTTTAAAAGCCAAAAACCAAAAATACATTACAACACATGCTCAAAACCACATATATACACAAACACACACATATATATACAAATACACAAATATATACACACACACATATATACACACACAAAACACATATATACAGACTGGGCCACAGCAACGCGTGGCAGGGGATGGCTATTCTATATAAATGAAACTGTAATGTTTGTTTGTGGAATTAACATAACCACTGGACGAATTGACACGAATTTGGACACAAGACACCTTTCAGGCCGACGAGTGAGCATCACTCATAAAAACACTGAAGAACGCAGTGGAAGAGATTTAAAAAGCCAAAAAATATATTAAAAAATACATTACAACGCATGTGCATAACCACATAAATTCACATATACACAAATATATATACACACATATATACACACACAAAACACATATACACAGGCTGGGTCACAGCAATGCATGGCAGGGGATGGATAGTTACTCATAAAACCACTAAAAAACACAGACAAGACTTAAAAAGCCAAAAAAATTACATTACTACGCATGCACAAAACCACACACACATATATATATATACACAAAACACATATATACACATATACACAAATATATACACACACAAAAGACAAATACGCAGACTGGGCCATAGCAACGCATGGCAGGGGACGGCTAGTAGGAAATAAAGACCGTAAAAGAAAAAGTATTATGAGATGTATTGTCAAAGGCTTTCATGGCTTGAATCACTAGGTTGTTGTAGGTTTTTTCGGGCTATATGGCTATATTCTAGAGGCACTCTCTCCTGACGTTTCGCCTGCATCTATGGCAAGCATCTTCAGAGGTAGTGAGGTCTCACCCAGTATTATGAGATGTTTTAAAACAACCCAGTATTGTGAGATGTTTTAAAAAGGAAGCTTGGATAGAAGTAGAAAACAAACCAACAAAAAGACATTTCAGTCCACGTGAAGCGCTCAAGGACATTTCATAATTGGGTTAAGAATCAGCCAAGCTTTGAAGCTGCAAGGCTATTCAATGCTAATCAAAGTGGCCAAATGCAACACTCACACTTGCCTTAAGCAGACAAGAGTTCTTTCTCCCATCCTGGACATCATCCCAAGATATATAAACCCCACTTGCCTAGTTTCCAACACACCTCCCAACCTCTGAGGATGCCTGCCAAAGATGTGGGCGAAATGTCAGGAGAGAATGCTTCTGGAACATGGCCAGACAGCCCGGAAAATACACAGCAACCTAGTGATTCCAGCCGTGAAAGCCATCATAATTGTCTCAATTTCTACTTCTATCTTTTTACCTGATCCTGTTCCACTGAGGCTATTTCACTGGCTTCACAAAGAGATGAGTTATTACGTCTTCTCAGCATCCTCGGCTCCTTTTCTGTGAAATGCCAAAGAAAAAGAATAGAATAACTTTATTGCCATTGTATGATTGCACAACAAAATTAATACCTCAATTTATTCATTTGCTTTTCAAGTTCATTTTTAGGTCCCAAAGTAGTACAACGCTTTAAAAGGCATTAGTATTCATGGGTTTCAGCCAATTCCATACAATACCAGCTTGGATGGATATATTTGTAAAACTACTCTTATAATATCCTAGCCAAGAAACCAAACCTAGTCAATACAAGCATTTTTGAAGATATAACAGAAGGTGATATATTTTGAGGATCCTTGAGACCAAGAGAAAGAAGACATCTCACCCAGTGGTGTGACACTACTGTCACCCTCCAGTTGCATCCACCTGGAAGGGAAGCTCTGGTTGATGCCTGGTGGGGCCTCCTGGGCTTGAAGGACCTCTCTCTCCTGACGCTCTTCCTGGAGCGCCTTGTCCTCTTCTTCCCGGCTCAGGAGGAATCCTTCAGCCAAGGCCACGGCCTGGGAGCTGGTCTCTGCCCCACATTCCCTCACCCAGCGCTCCATCTCGGCAGGAAGGACGGCCAGGAACTGCTCCAGGATCACCAGGTCCAGCATCTCCGCCTTGGAGTGTCGCTCGGGCTTCAGCCACAGGCGGCAGAGAGAGTGGAGGCGGCTGCAAACCTCTCGTGGTCCCAAGGCCTCCTCGTAGCGGAAAAGCCGGAAGCGTTGACCTTGAAAGTCTGCACTGAAGGTCTTCTCCTCCAGGACATCTTGACCCATTTCGCCTGGGAATTCAACACTTCTCCTGCCCCACATTTTGATGGGCTCTCTTCCTCCTTCAAATGGGTCTGGCTCCTCCATCTTCACTTTGTGCTTCAAAGCAGTTTCCATCTTGGCCGTAGACACCCCTCCTTTGTTATCTGTCATGGAAAAAACCTGTACAAAACAGTATGAACATGATGAGATCAAATCTGAGTGAACGAACAAGATCTGTAAACCACAAAGAGCCAAAAGAGGAAAAGTAACAACAATAATAATAATAATTGCAAAGACTCTGGCACAAACCAGTCAAGGTGATTCCAGTGGTGATCGGCATACTGGGTGCAGTGCCTCAAGACCTTGGCCTGCACTTAAAGACAATCGGCGCTGACAAAGTTACCATCTGCCAGTTGCAGAAGGCCACCTTACTTGGATCTGCACACATTATTCGCCGATACATCACACAGTCCTAGACACTTGGGAAGGGTCCAATGTGTGATCAAATACAACAGCCAGCAGAGTGTCTGCTATGGACTCATCTTGTTGTGTTTCAAATAATAATAATAATAATAATAATAATAATAATAATAATAATAATAATATAAAGGTAAAGGTTTCCCCTGACATTAAGTCCAAATATGTCCGACTCTGGGGGTTGGTGCTCATCTCTATTTCCAAGCTGAAGAGCTGGTGTTATCCATAGACACCTCCAAAGTCATGTGGCGGGCATGACTGCATGGAGCACCGTTACCTTCCCACCGGAGCGGTACCTATTGATCTACTCACATTTGCATGTTTTTGAACTGCTAGGTTGGCAGAAGCTGGGGCTTACAGTGGGAGCTCATGCCGCTCCCCGAATTCAAACCTGCAACTAGGTTCTTGTGGTTTTTTTTTCGGGCTATAGTGATTCCAGCCATGAAAGCCTTCGACAATACATCAAACCTGCAACCTTTCGGTCAGCAAGTTCAGCAGCTCAGCAGTTTAACTCACTGCACCACCGGGGCCTCCAATAATAATAATAATAATAATAATTGTTATTATTATTATAGTTTTATTTAACCCACCATTTCTTCCCAAAGGGAATCAATAATGAGGATAATGATGTAACTTTATGACCCATTTTGGGGTGGTTTCAACAAGTTTCTTTTCCCATTGGATAGAAACAGGTCAGGCTGTTTGAAGAGTACACATAACGAAGCATCACGATGGGATTTCACACACCTTCTCTTGTCATATTCTAAGATGTGTAAATAAACAAGCAGTAAACTACTGTATAGTCCATACCAGGAATGGGCCAACTTAGCCCTCCTGGTGTTTTTCCTACTGGCTGTTAGGAATTGTGGGAGTTGAAGTCCAAAACACCTGCAGGGCCCAAGTTAGCCCATACCTGGTCCTTACTCGTAATTCTGTTTCATATGAGTTTATAATATCACTTATAATGATATTCAGAAAGGACGACCACCTCACCCGCCTCGTAGGAAACCTGCCACAAAACAGGAGCTTTTTTGTTGAGTTCCAGGGCCAGAGAAGCAGATGGCGGAAACAGAAGAACGGCCTGCCTCAGGGGAGCGTGCTTGCTCCATCCATGTTCAACATCTACACAAATGACCAGCCACTGCCAGAAGGGACAGAGAGTTTCATCTATGTTGATGATCGTGCCATCACCGCTCAAGAAGGCCGGGAGGGAGGGATGGAAGAAGGAAGGAAGAAGGGAGGGAGGGAGGGAAGGCTGGGAAGAATGGAGGGAAGAAGGAAGGGAGGGAAGAAAGGAGGGAGGGAGGGAGAAGGGAGGAAGGAAGAAGGAAGAAGGGAGGGAGAAAGAGAAGGAAGGGAGGGAGAAAGAGAAGGGAGGGAGGGAAGGAAGGAGGGAGGGAGGGAAGGAAGAAAGGGAGAAAAGGAAGGGAGGGAAAGGAAGAAGGAGGGAGGAAGAGGAAAGGGAAAGGAAGAAGAAGGGAGGAAGGGAAGAAGGAAGGGAGGGAGGAAAGGAAGGAAGGGAGGGAGGGAGGAAGAAGGAAGGAAGAGAGGAAAGAAGGAAAAAAAGGAAAGATGGAGGGAAGAAAGATGGGAAGGAAGGAGAAAAGAAGGAGGGAAGGAAGAAGGAAGGAAGGAAGGAAGGGAGAGAAGAAAGAAGGGGATGGAGGGAAGGAAGAGGGAAGAAGGAAGGGAGAGAAGGGAAGGAAGGAAGGAAGGATGGAAGAAGGGAGGGAGAGAAGGGAAGGAGGGAGGGAAGGGGGAGGAAAGGAAGAAGGAAGGAAGGTGGAAAGGAAGAAGGGAGGGAGGGAGGGAGGGAAGGAGGGAAAGAATGAAGAAGGGAGGGAGGGAAAAAGGGAAAGGAGGGAAAGAAGAAAGGAAGAATGGAGGAAGGGAAGGAAGGAAAGAAGGAAGGAAGAAGGGAGGGAGAGAAGGGAAGGAGGGAGGGAAGGGGGAGGGAAAGGAGGAAAGGGAGGGAGGAAGAAGGGAGGAAGGAAGAAGGGAAAGGAGGAGGAAGAATGGAGGGAAGGAAGGAAGGAAGGAAGAAGAGAGGGAAGGAGGCAGACTGAGAAAGAAGGAAAAAAGGAAGGATGGAGGGAAGGAAGATGGGAAGGAGGGAGGGAAGGAAAAAGGAAGGAAGAAAGAAGGGAGCGAGGGAAGGAGGGAGAGAAGGAAAGAAGTAAGGATGGAAGGAGGGAAGGAAGGAAGTGTGTGTGTGGGAGGAAGGGGCCCAGCTGGGAGGGAGGCTCAACCCCAGAGCCCACCTCCCTCCTGGACAGATGCTTTGGCCCTCCATTCCACCTTAGGCTCCCCCTCCCTCCTGGCCAGGGATACTGGGAGTTGTAGTCCTCAGCCTTGCCCTATTCTCCTTGGCTTTGTTTCCTCTCCCCTCGCCCCACTTCTGGGGGGGGCTCAAACCCCCCCCCCCCCTTTCCCCAGCCGAACTGGGCCTCCCTCAGACTAGAGAAGGAGGGAGGAGGACTCACCCCAAGACCTGGAGAAGCAGAGAGCAGCCCCCCCAACACCACCTTTCTCCCCAGCCCTGCTCTCTTTGGGGGAGCAGCTTCTCTTCCGGACTCCTTTCCGCCCCGCCCCTTTGCCCCCCCCGGAACTTAACCCTTTCTGTTCCTTCCCAAAATCTGACAGCCCTGGTCCTCAGTACAGTCAGATTAAAAGAGAGGAAAACCTCCCACCAACCCATCCTGGCAAAAGGTGAGAAGGTGAAAGGCAGGCAAAGGATGTAGGAAGCCCATAGGTACCAATGCTGCCCTTGCAGCCTGATCTCTCAGAATCACCAGTCCAACCCCCTGCCATGCAGGAAAAACACAATCAAAGCATACCGGACAGATGGCCATCCAACTCCTGTTTAAAAGCCTCCAAGGAAGGAGCTTCCATCAGACTCTGAGGCTGTGTTGTCAAAGGCATTCATAGCCTTTCACTGGGTTGCTGTGAGTTTTTCGGGCTGTATGGTCAAGTTCCAGCAGCATTCTCTCCTGACATTTCGCCTACATCTGTAGCTGGCATCCTCAGAGGTTTAGAAGAAGTGCATTTGGATCATCCTCCTCTCCTAAAGGGCCTGGTCTAGGGGACGCTGGGAGCTGTTGTCCAGAAGAGAGCGCGGATATGCTATTGTGTGTTTTGTTTGCATGCACTGTAGCTTTTTTTTGTCCCCCCCCCCCACCCTTTAAGTCTCTTCTGTTGTGTTTTTCAGTGTTTTTATGAGTGATGGTCACTCGTTGGCCTGATACATATATTGTGTCCAAATTTGGTGTCAATTCGTCCAGTGGTTTTTGAGTTACGTTAACCCCACAAACAACACTACATTTTTATTTATTTATTTATTTATTTATTTATTATACAGACGAGCCGTTCCCTGCCACGCGTTGCTGTGGCCCACATGGGGGTTCTGTGTGGGAGGTTTGGCCCAATTCTATCGTTGGTGGTGTTCAGAATGCTCTGTGATTGTATGTGAACTATAAATCCCAGCAACGACAACTCCCAAATGTCAATATTCTATTTTCCCCAAACTCCACCAGTGTTCCCATCTGGGCATGTTGAGTATTCGTGTAGAGTTTGGTCCAGATCCATCATTGTTTGTGCCCATGGTGATCTCTGGATGTAGGTGAACTACAACTCCCAAACTCAAGGTCAATGCCCACCAAACCCTTCTAGTGTTTTCTGTTGGTCATGGGAGTCCTGTAAGCCACGTTTGGTTCAATGCCATAATTGATGGAGTTCAGAATGCTCTTTGATTGTAGGTGAACTATAAATCCTATAAACTACAGCTCCCAAATGACAAAATCAAAATTTTTGAGTGAAGGACATACATTGGGTTGTTAGGTGCATGCTGTCCAAATTTGGTGTCAATTAGCCCACTGGTTTTTGAGTTCAGATAATCCCACAAACGAACATTACATTTTTATTTACAGTATATTCTGGCGTATAAGACTACTTTTTAACCCAAGAAAATCTTCTCAAAAGTCAGGGGTCGTCTTATACGCGGGTGTAGTCTTATGCATGGGAGTCGTCTTAACTCTATATTTTAACTGGAAAAGTTGGGGGTCGTCTTATACGCCCAGTCGTCTTATATGCCGGAATATACGGGTATATAGATTTCTACATTTATATACCGCTTTTCTCCCCCTAAGGGAACTCAAAGTGGTTTCCAACATCATAAAGGCAAAATTCAATGCTATACATACACGTAAAAACCAAATGATAATCGCAAGACAATTAACATATAGCTATAAATTAACCTAACCAAATAAAAACATAAACATAAAAGAACATTTAGACATAAAGCATAAAAATTAAGCATAAATAATATAATAGCATTTGTATTAAAAACCACTGATAAACAACATCATTTTAAAAAAGTTATTAAAATCACTCCATCCAAAATCATATCTGTAGTCGTGTTGGAGTTCAGCCTGTGATTGTCTTTAAGGATAAGGTAGATGCGGGAAATGCCGTGGATGTAGCATACCTGGATTTCAGTATGGCCTTCGACAAGGTCCCCCATGACCTTCTGGCAAGAAAACTAGTCCAATGTGGGCTAGGCAAAACTACGGTGAGGTGGATCTGGAATTGGTTAAGTGGACGAACACAGAGAGTGCTCACTAATGCTTCCTCTTCATCCTGGAAAGAAGTGACGAGTGGAGTGCCGCAGGGTTCGTCCTGGGCCCGGTCCTGTTCAACATCTTTATTAATGACTTAGATGAAGGGCTAGAAGGCATGATCATCAAGTTTGCAGACGACACCAAATTGGGAGGGATAGCCAATGGTCCAGAGGACAGGAGCAGAATTCAAAACGATCTTGACAGATTAGAGAGATGGGCCAAAACTAACAAAATGAAGTTCAACAGTGACAAATGCAAGATACTCCAATTTGGCAGGAAAAATGAAATGCAAAGATACAGAATGGGGGATGCCTGGCTCGAGAGCAGTACGTGTGAAAAAGATCTTGGAGTCCTCGTGGACAACAAGTTAAACATGAGCCAACAATGTGATGTGGTGCCAAAAAAAGCCAATGGGATTTTGGCCTGCATCAATAGGAGCATAGTGTCTAGATCTAGGGAAGTAATGCTACCCCTCTATTCCGCTTTGGTTAGACCACACCTGGAATATTGTGTCCAATTCTGGGCACCACATTCAAGAGAGATATTGACAAGCTGGAATGTGTCCAGAGGAGAGCGACTAAAATGATAAAAGGTCTGGAGAACAAGCCCTATGAGGAGCGGCTTAAGGAGCTGGGCATTTTTAGCCTGAAGAAGAGAAGGCTGAGAGGGGATATGATAGCCATGTATAAATATGTGAGAGGAAGCCACAGGGAGGAGGGAGCAAGCTTGTTTTCTGCTTCCCTGGAGACTAGGACAGAACAATTGCTTCAAACTACAAGAGAGGAGATTCCATCTGAACATGAGGAAGAACTTCCTGACTGTGAGAGCCGTTCAGCAGTGGAACTCTCTGCCCCGGAGTGTGGTGGAGGCTCCTTCTTTGGAGGCTTTTAAGCAGAGGCTGGATGGCCATCTGTCAGGGGTGATTTGAATGCAATATTCCTGCTTCTTGGCAGGGGGTTGGACTGGATGGCCCATGAGGTCTCTTCCAACTCTACGTTTCTATGATTCTATTCTATGATTCTAAGGGTCCTTTGGATGTTGGGATTGATGATAATGAGGTTCATGTAGGTAATGGTGTTTCCAATGATGAAGTGGCTATTGATGCAGAGAATGGCCAGGAGATCCCTGTTCAAAGTGTATTTTCTGATGAGAATGTTCCTAAAGGGTTTGGGGATGATGGTATGTGTCCCTGGAAGAAGGTCTGAATTGCTACCAGAGAATTCCCATGACTTTGAGCCTGAGAATAACTCGACACCTGGGCCAGCTGCAGAAATTAAGGAGCCAGTAGATAGATGGGGTGTTATTAGTCAAAGTAGGAAAGCTAATCAGTCGCTTAGGCATTCTGCCAGGCTCAAAGAAAGAATCATAGAATCCTAGAGTTGGAAGAGACCTCATGGGCCATCCAGTCCAACCCCATTCTGCCAAGAAGCAGAAAAATTGCATTCAAAGCACCCCGGACAGATGGCCACCCAGCTCTGTTTAAAAGCTTCCAAAGAAGGAGCCTCCACCACACTCCGGGGCAGAGAGTTCCACTGCTGAACGGCTCTCACAGTCAGGAAGTTCTTCCTCATGTTCAGATGGAATCTCCTCTCTTGTAGTTTGAAGCCATTGTTCCATGCGTCCTAGTCTCCAAGGAAGCAGAAAACAAGCTTGCTCCCTCCTCCCTTTGCAGGCATGTAGCCCTGGGGGGGGGGGGCTTGGGGGGTTCAGCCCCCCCCCCAATTCTCATGGTGGTGCACGAGAAGGCCTTACTGGTTTATTATTTAAACGTTATGTTTATTCATATCATGATCTGATCACTATGCTCAATATATCCCATATGCATGGGGTATTGGGGTAACAATACAAAAGGTTCACTAGGGTCAGACTCAGCCCCCATCCTAGTCTCCAGGGCAGCAGAAAACAAGTTCTCTCCCTCCTCCCTATGACTTCCTCTCACATATTTATACATGGCTATCATGTCTCCTCTCAGCCTTCTCTTCTTCAGGCTAAACATGCCCAGCTCTTTAAGCCGCTCCTCATAGGGTTTGTTCTACAGACCCTTGATCATTTTAGTCGCCCTCCTCTGGACACATTCCAGCTTGTCAATATCTCTCTTGAATTGTGGTGCCCAGAATTGGACACAATATTCCAGGTGTGGTCTAACCAAAGCGGAATAGAGCATGGGGAGCATGACTTCCCTAGATCTAGACACTCTGCTCCTATTGACGCAGGCCAAAATCCCATTCGCTTTTTTTGCCGCCACATCACATTGTTGGCTCATCTTTAACTTGTTGTCCACGAGGACTCCAAGATCTTTTTCACACGTACTGCTCTCGATCCAGGCCTTGTCCCCCATTCTGTATCTTTGCATTTCGTTTTTCCTGCCAAAGTGGAGTATCTTGCATTTGTCACTGTTGAACTTCATTTTGTTAGTTTTGGCCCATCTCTCTAGTCTGCCAAGATTGTTCTGAAGCCTGCTCCTGTCCTCTGGAGTATTGGCTATCCCTCCCCATTTGGTCCTGTCTGCAAACTTGATGATCATGCCTTCTAGCCCTTCATCCAAGTCATTAATAGATGTTGAACAGGACCAGGACCAGGACGGAACCCTGCTTGTGGCACTCCGCTCGTCACTTCTTTCCAGGATGAAGAGGAAGCATTGGGGAGAATCACCCTCTGGGTTCGTCCCCTTAACCAATTCCAGATCCACCTCACCGTAGTTTTGCCTAGCCCACATTGGACTAGTTTCCTTGCCAGAAGGTCATGGGGGACCTTGTCGAAGGCCTTACTGAAATCCAGGTACGCTACATCCACGGCATTCCCCTCATCTACCCAGCTTGTAACTCTATCGAAAAAAGAGATCAGATTAGTCTGGCATGACTTGTTTTTGATAAATCCATGTTGACTATTAGCAATGACCGCATTTGTTTCTAAGTGTTTGCAGACCACTTCCTTAACAATCTTTTCCAGAATCTTGCCTGGTATTGACGTGAGACTGACCGGACGGTAGTTGTAGAATCTTGCCCGGTATCGACGTGAGGCTGACCGGACGGTAGTTGTTTGGGTAATCCTTTTTTCCCTTCTTGAAGATTGGGACCACATTGGCTCTCCTCCAATCTGCTGGACTTCTCCCGTTCTCCAAGATCTCTCAAAGATGGTTGCCAATGGTTCCGAAATGACTTCCGCTAGTTCCTTCAATACTCTGGGGTGTAGTTGATCTGGCCCTGGGGACTTGAACTCATTTAGAGCGGCCAGGTATTCCTGGGTGACTTGTTTCCCAATTTGGAGTTGGATGTCCTCTAATCCCTCATCCACTCCATCTTGCTGAGGTTGAAGATGACTTTCTTTTTGTGAGAAGACCGAGGCAAAGAAGGCATTAAGTAGTTCTGCCTTTTCCCTATCCTACTGAGACCCTTCCCACAGGCATGTGTGGGGCTCTTCTTCTCTATGAGTATTCTGGTGCTTTTTGAGAACAAATTGGCTGCTAAAGCTCTTCCCACATTTTAAGCAACTATAGGGTTTCTCTCCTCTGTGATTCATCTCATGGAGGAAAAGACTTCTCTTGAGGATGAAGCCCTTGCCACACTCCAGGCACTTATAGGGTGCCTCTCCCCTGTGGGTCATTTCGTGCCCAATGAAACTTCTCTTGTCATTGAAGCCCTTTCCGCACTCCGGGCATTTATAGGGTGTCTCTCCCCTGTGATTCATTTCATGTCCAATCAGACTTCTCTTTTGAGCAAATCCTTTCCCACACTCCAGGCATTTATATGGCTTCTCTGTCATGTGGGTTTTTTGGTGTCTGTTGAGGGTATTTCTCAAACAGAAACTCTTCCCGCACTCTGGGCATTGATAGGGTCTCTTTCCTATGTGATTCATTTCATGCGCAACGAGATTTCTCTTTTCGGCAAAGTCTTTCCCACACTCGAGGCACTTAAATGGCCTCCTTCCCAAGTGGCACTTTCTGTGTTTTCGCAAATTTCCTTTACAACGGAAACTTTTTTCACACTCTGGGCATTTATACGGTTTGTCCACAATTTGGGGATTTTCACAGTTTGTCAGGTGTATACTAGATCCAAAGCTTTCTTTCCACTGTTGGCATTTAGCTTGTTCTTTCTCTACATCATTTGTGATATCATCACTCAAGCATGACAACACATGGAAGAAGCCATTCTCAAAGACAAGGCCGGTCTTGACCGTCCTGCTTTCGTCCGTTCTTTCTTGGATTGTGATTTCCTTGGTGTCAACAGGGCACCGGTTCCTTCTATATTCTTCTGCTTCCATTTCCAAGCTTTGCTCCTCCCTCTCTTTATATCTCGGTGTTTTCAGCCATGTTTCACATGGTGCTCCCATATTTTCATTCTCTTTTGCAGCCCCAACTTGAAGAAAAGAGAGAGAAACAGTAAGAAGGCATGAGAAAACAGAAATCAGTGGAATCAGTCAACTAGCTAGCAGCACAGACCATCCTAATCTCCATCCCCCTATTCATGCTCCCGTCAAAAATTATTTAAACTGATATTTCAGTTTCAATAACAATACTGTTTTTATCATGTAATAATACTTTTAATTTTCTAATTAAATGGTCCTGTACACTGTTCCCTCACTATTGTCATGTATCATGTTCTGCAGTTGTTGGTGGTTGGTGGTGGTGGTAGGCCTAGCAGTTGGTAATGGAAGGGGTAATGTAAGTATTAGTTCTAAAAGGTTGAGTAATCTGTAAGTAAGAGTTCATGGGTGAAAGCAATTAAGGGTGGAGGTATACAAGAGATAGGTTGCAGCTGGGTGTTTCTGGATATAAAGAGCGAGCCTTGGAACTGATCTTGGGGAGAAAAGTGTCACACCTCAGAGTAGAATCACCTTGCTTAAGACACCAAAGAACACACCTTTTATGGTTTATTAAAGGAAAAGCAAAAAGTTCAAAAAGGCAAAAGTATATTCCAAAAGTTCAATCCATGGTAACATAGGCAAACAAGATCCATGAAGACACAGGCATGGCAAAGTCCCATGAGAACCTGACAAAGTCCTAAACTGATCAGCTCGATCTAAACCTCCGGCTTCATAAAGGTCAATTCCGTCGTTAGTGCTTTTCCCCTCATTATCTGGCTGAGAACTATCTGGCTGAGAACCGTCCTCCCTTCCTGAATCATGCACTTGGCTCTCAGTGGTTTTGCTTTCAACAGCGTCATCCCTTGTTGTGGAAACAACTGAACTTCTGTCCCCTGTTCCTGGTCTTCTTCATCTAACACAGGGACAACATTGCTTTGCACCTGACTGTGAATCTGAATCCCATCATCCCCACCAGAATCATTGACACTATCACTCTGAGATTCCAGCTGAGTCACAACAAAAAGTATTATCTTATCTTGGTGGTAGATGCTGCTGGTTTTCCCCCCAGGTTTGTAGATTTTCGGTGTCCTGACCCATCTCCTGAACGTTTGGAATCCTGAAACCTTGAATCTTTGGACTAGCTTTGGACTACAGTATAGACTCTTGATCCCTGGACTTTGTTTATTGAACTCTCGACATTCGACCACTGGACTGGACCCTTTGACCATGGTGTAGCGTTTGCTATCAGTTTTTGTTTATTCTGTGGCTGAGTGCTGTCTTTATGTTTTATATTTTGGACTATTAAAACAACCAGAAAGTAAGTGCTGTTTTAATTAAATTGTTTAACAGTAACTGGGTGATTGTTTGGTTCATCTCTGCCTCTGACTAAGGCAGAGCCCTGGCAACATGACAGAATACTTCTCTCCCCAAGATCAGTGCCACGGCTTGCTCCTTATATCCAGAAACACCTAGCTGTCATTTGGGAGTTGTAGTTGCTGGCATTTATAGTTCACCTACAATCAAAGAGCATTCTGAACTCCATCAACGATGGAATTGAACTAGACTTGGTACACAGAACTCCCTTGACCAACAGAAAATACTGGAAGGGTTTGGTGGGCATTGACCTTGGTTTTAGAGCTCAGACCCAGTTCTTGATTATGAAATGTAGTTAGTTCTTTAGTTTTGTAAATAAACCTTTTATGATTTTTAAAGATTGGACTCCACATTTTTGCCTCCTACGCTCTAAATTCTTTACAGCCACATTGCACGGCACTTCACTCTCTGCTCACTAATGAGCTGATGCTCAACTTTTGTATCCTGTTTATGTTTTTGGGTGCTCTGCTATATTTTAGGGTAGTTTTTCCTAACAATGACGTAAAATTAGTTGGAGGGAGGAGGGAAGGAAGAGGGGGCGGGGAACGTGGCTAGCAGAAGCTCATCTTCCCATTCCTTACCCTAATTGTCCTTCTAGACTCCTCCTCAACATGATCGGCCTTGAGTTTTGGGAGGGAGGAAAGATACGGTTCTGGCCCAGTTTACTTGCCCAAATGTATCTCCTTCTATGTCCTGCTTCGGAGCCTAAGATCATCCAGGGAGGCCCTGCTCTCGATCCCGCCTCCGTCACAAACGCGTTTGGCGGGGACAAGAAACAGGGCCTTCTCGGTGGTGGCCCCCTGCCTGTGAAACACGCTCCCTAGCAAAATTAGGTCAACTATATCCCTCCTTTCCTTTGGCATTTCCAAAACTAATTTCTACTCAACAAGAAGCAGAGGGATCCTTACTGAAGAAGGCCAACATCTCATAATTCTCTCCCATGACATCCCAATGCAGGGCTTGTTGATCTGGATCTAGCAGCACCCACTCTTCTTCACTGAAATGTACAGACACATCCTCAAAAGTCACCTGAAAGAGAAGGATTAGGACACACAGATCAGCAATGCGTCTTGCACTATAAGGCAGAATCTGATGTAAATGCCAACTATATAACAAAAGGGTTGTTCTAGGTTTTTTTGGGCTATATTGCCATGTTCTAGAGGCATTCTCTCCTGACATTTCGCCTGCATCTATGGCAAGCATCCTCAGAGGTTGTGAGGTCTATTGGAACTAGGAAAATGGGTTTATATACCTGTGGAATGACCAGGGCGGGACAAAGAACTCTTGTCTGCTGGAGCTAGGTGTGAAATGTTTCAACCAACCACCTTGTTAGCATTTGATGGCCTGGCAGTGCCTGGGGCAATCTTTTGTTGAGAGGTGATTAGATGTCCCTTATTGTTTCCTCTCTGTTGTTTTGCTGTTGTAATTTTAAGGTTTCTTAATACTGGTAGCCAGATTTTGTTCATGTTCATGGTTTCCTCCTTTCTGTTGAAATTGCCCACATGCTTGTGGACTTCAATGGCTTCTCTGTGTAGTTTGACATGGTGGTTGTGAGAGTGGTCCAGCACTTCTGTGTTCTCAAATAATATGCTGTGTCCAGGTTGGTTCCTCAGGTGCTCTGCTATGGCTGATTTCTCTGGTTGAAGTAGTCTGCAGTGTTCCATGTTCCTTGATTTGTGTCTGGGCAATGCTGCTGCGTTTGGTGGTCCCTATGGAGACTTGTCCACAGCTGCATGGTACACAGTAGACTCCTGCAGAAGCGAGAGGATCCCTCTTGTCCTTTGCTGAACGTAGTATTTGTTGGATTTTCTTGTTGGGTCTGTAGATAGTTTGTATGTTGTGTTTCCTCATCAGCTTCCCTTTGTGGTCAGTGGTTCCCTTGATGTATGGCAGGAACACTTTCCTCTGGGTGGGTCTTTGTCTTGACTCTCGTGGCTTGTTCTCGGTCTTGCAGCTCTTCTAATTTCTGAGGTGAAATATCTATTGGCCTGTAAAGCCCAGTTTAGGTGGTTCAGTTCATCTTGGAGGAGGTGGGCTTCGCAGATTCTTTTTGCACCAATGGTTCTCAACCTGTGGGTCCCCAGGTATTTTGGCCTACAACTCCCAGAAATCCCAGCCAGTTTACCAGATGTTAGAATTTCTGGGAGTTGAAGGCCAAAACATCTGGGGACCCACAGGTTGAGAAACACTGAACTACTGTTCCAGCCAAACCATCTGTTCTCCAAGACCTGCTGGAACAGAAAACCCTTCTTCTATTTGGAGAAAGAAGCCCAAGGGGCAGGTGGATGGACACACAGCAGTCCCCTCTCTTTGGGAAGGGAGTTCTGCATCCTGAAAGCTCCCACCGAGAAGTCACCTCCAGCTGCTTCTTCCATAACGTACAACTAGTCTGGTCTAATGAAGGTTTGAACAGGGTATTCAGTCCAAGGTGGAAAACACTGTGTGGACCTTGTGGAAGAAGAAGGCCTCCAAGAACAGCAACCTGAGATCACTTAAAAGGAAACTTGGGCAGAAGCTAAAAACAACCAATGAAAGATCCTTTCCTGACACATGACGTGGCTCTGGGCAATTCCAGAATTATCTCTACTTCGTTTCTACTTCCATCTTTTACCTGATCCTGTTCCATGGAGGCCATTTCTCCTGCTTCATAAAGAGATGAGCTATGGCGGCTTCCCAGCATCCTTGATTCCTCCCCTGTGAAAGTCCAAAGAAAGGAAGGAAACAGAATATGAATTCCTATATTTTTAAGTCTCACTTTTAGATTAACAATTATTTAAAAGACTCAAAAAGGGACTGAAAGAACTGAGCATACTTCATCTAGTATAACCATTCATTCAATGCAGCCAGTTTCATGCAAGACCATCATGCACTTAGATGTCCTAATAACTATTCTTAGAAACATTCTAACAATCCAGCTATTGAAGACAAAGTCTTACTAGGGATATAACCAAAGATCATATATCTGGAGGAGCCTTGAGGGTGAAGACCAAGCAAAAGGGAGGCCTCTCACCTGGTGGAGCAACACTTGTGTCCTCCTCCTCCTCCAACTTGATCCACCTGGAAGGGAAGCCCTGGCTGGTGCCTGGTGGGGCCTCCTGGGCTTGAAGGACCTCTCTCTCCTGCCGCTCTTCCTGCAGCACCTTCTCCTCTTGGGCCCGACTCAGGAGGAAGCCTTCAGCCAAGGCCACGGCCTGGGAACTGGTCTCTGCCCCACATTCCCTCACCCAGCGCTCCATCTCCGCAGGAAGGACGGCCAGGAACTGCTCCAGGATCACCAGGTCCAGCATCTCCGCCTTGGAGTGTCGCTCGGGCTTCAGCCACAGGCGGCAGAGAGAGTGGAGGCGGCTGCACACCTCTCGTGGCCCCAAGGTCTCCTCATAGTGGAAGCTTCGGAAGCATTGGCCCTGAAGGTCTGGCTTGAAGGCCTTCTCCTCCAGGGCATCCTGACCCATTCTGCCTGGGAACCCAACACTTCTCCTGCCCCACATTTCATAGGGCTCTCTTCCCCCTTCAGGGCTGGTCTGGTCTGGCTCCTCTGTCTTCACTCTGGGCTCCATCTGAGGTGAAGAACCTCTTCCCTTCTCCATGTGAAGATGTTGTGAAGCCAAGGCTACACAAGACAAAGGGGAGGTGAAGGCCAGTTTAATGATTTACCACTGTCAAGGGTTAAGCGGTCTTTACACCCCATTTTTGTGTTGCTGCTATCTGGTTTCCCTGTAAGAACACCAGAGCCCTGGCAGCTCAGAGGAAACTTCATGAGGCAACAGTATGGGAATCCCTTTGCATTGCTTTTCCCTTCCCCAGCCCCACTTCCCTTGTTTCCTTATATTTACAATTCTGAAACTGAGAAGAAGCCTGAGAGTTGTGGGGTGACAAAGTCCTTGGCCTTCTCTGCCCAAGAGTGCAGGTGCCTCATTAAACTCCCCCTCCCAGGATGAAAGACCATTGACACAAAGCAGTCCAAGTGGCCCCAAAGTACATTCATTCTGGGATGCAGATGCACTTTGTGGCCACTCGGACTGCTTTGCCTCAATGGTCTGTCATCCTGGGAGGGAGAGTTTGGCATGCACGAGAACGTAGCATGCTCTCATGACCAACTCGAAAAAAGGACATCAGTATAAGCTTGCCCTTACATTGTTTCAAGTTCAACCCCTCTTTCCTCCCTGGACTCCTTTCTCTCCAGCCCTTGTCTGGTCTCTAAGTTTGAGTTTGGCGGTCTGGATGTTCTTCTCTGTCTTGGCTCTGCCTCCTCCCTACCACGTGTTCCTGCAGCACCGGCCTCTCTTTCCTTCCCTTTGGAGCAGTGGTTCCCAGGCTTTTTTTGACCAGAGACCTCTTTGACCAGGGACCACTTGACCAGGAACCTCTTTGACTAGGGACCTCTTTGACAAGCAACCTCTTTGACCAGGAACCACTTGGACCAGGGGCCACTTGGACCAGGGACCACTTTGACCAGGGACCACTTAACCAGGGACTACTTGATGAGGAACCACTTGACGAGGGATTACTTTGAACAGGAACCATTTGATGAGTGATCACTTGACCAGGGACCACTTTGACCAGGGACCACTTGATGAGGAACCACTTGGCGAGGGATTACTTTGACCAGGGACCACTTGACCAGGGATCACTTTGACCAGGGATCACTTTGACCAGGGATCACTTTGACCAAGGACCACTTAACCAGGGATCACTTTGACCAGGGACCACTTGATGAGGAACCACTTGACGAGGGATTACTTTGACCAGGACCACTTTGACCAGGGATCACTTTGACCAAGGACCACTTGACAAGGGATCACTTTGACCAGGGACCACTTGATGAGGAACCACTTGACGAGGGATTACTTTGACCAGGGACCACTTGACGAGGGACCACTTTGACGAGGGACCTCTTTGACCAAGGACCACTTTGACCAGGTACCACTTGATGAGGGACCACTAAACCAGGGACTCTTTCATCAGGGGTCACTTGACCAGGGACCTCTTTGACCAGGGACCACTCTCCAACATGAGTACCAAAAGGGTTACGAATCTGTCGTTGGTCAACTTTAGTTTCATTATTTGGGGTGCTGATTCAGAAGATTGCATTGTCTAGACCACATCAGCTCTAGTTTCTGATACAGAACATATGCCATCCAGTAGTCACCAACAGAAAACCATAATTGATAAGCCTTGGCACTGTAAGGAGGTTTCAGGAGACCAGTCGCTGTCCTTGCAACAGTGTTGTAACAGTTGCAAGGACCACTGGTGGTCCATGGACCACAGGTTGGGAACCACTGCTTTGAAGCCTTCTCCATCCAAGTGCAAGGAGGCCAGGATGAGAGGGAGGGGGGGGGGGGAAGGTAGGTAGGTAGGAAGGAAGGAACGAAGGAAGGAAGCAGAAGAGAAGAGGGGCAGGAAGAGAAGAGACGTAAGGGAAGGGTCCGGGCTGGGAGGCAGGGAGGGAGGAAAGGACACTGCAGAGCCCACCCCCAGCCCTCTGTCCCCCCGCTTGTCCTGAGCTTGCTGGGAGTTGTAGTCCGCAGCCCTGTCCCCCGGTGGGCCTGTGTTTCCTCTCTTTCTTCCCTCCCTTCTCCCCAGAGGCTATCTGGCTGCTTCCCTCCCTCTCTCCCAGCAAAGTCAAGAAGCGAGAGGTCTCCTCCCCTCTCCTCCCCTTCCCAAAACCCCAGCGGAGGAGGCCTCACCGCAGTGGCTTTGACGAGGGGAATAGGTGCTTCTCCTTCCTCCAGGTATTCTCCCTCTGCTGGGGGCGGGGGGGGGCATCCATTTGGTCTGCCCGCAGCTAATCTTTCCCGCCTATGCACTGCCCCCTCCTGGTTGCATCTGAGTGCTGCATACCTACATACCTATAGGCCAGCAGTTCATCATTTGTATGTATACACTGCCCTCTATTGGTTGCATCTGAGTTCGACATGTAGATTTCTAACTTTTGAAATCTACATGGGGTGGATTTTGTAGTTCAAACCCCAATCATTTTAAGTTGGATCATGAAGATGATGTGTACAAAGTTTGGTCCAGAACCATCACACCATGTGCCTGAGTATGATTGTCTTCCAAGTGTAAGGTCTTGTTGGTGAACCTGTAGGCAACCGTAGAGGTCCTTCCTTCCTTCCTTCCTTCCTTCCTTCCTTCCTTCCTTCCTTCCTTCCTTCTTCCTTCCTTCCTTCCTTCCTTCCTTCCTTCCTTCCTTCCTTCCTTTCTCTCAATATAGTTTCCTTCCTCATAGAATCAAAGAGTTGGAAGAGACCTCATGGGCCATCCAGTCCAACCCCATTCTGCCAAGAAGCAGGAATATTGCATTCAAATCACCCCTGACAGATGGCCATCCAGCCTCTGTTTAAAAGCTTCCAAAGAAGGAGCCTCCACCACACTCCAGGGCAGAGAGTTCCACTGCTGAACGGCTCTCACAGTCAGGAAGTTCTTCCTCATGTTCAGATGGAATCTCCTCTCTTGTAGTTTGAAGCCATTGTTCCGTGTCCTAGGTTCCAGGGAAGCAGAAAACAAGCTTGCTCCCTCCTCCCTGTGGCTTCCTCTCACATATTTATACATGGCTATCATATCTCCTCTCAGCCTTCTCTTCTTCAGGCTAAACATGCCCAGCTCCTTAAGCCGCTCCTCATAGGGCTTGTTCTCCAGACCCTTGATCCTTTTAGTCGCCCTCCTCTGGACACATTCTCTTGAATTGTGGTGCCCAGAATTGGACACAATATTCCAGGTGTGGTCTAACCAAAGCAGAATAGAGGGGTAGCATGACTTCCCTGGATCTAGACACTAGGCTCCTCTTGATGCAGGCCAAAATCCCATTGGCTTTTTTTGCCGCCACATCACATTGTTGGCTCATTTTCAACTTGTTGTCCACGAGGACTCCAAGATCTTTTTCACACATACTGCTCTCTCCTTCCTTCCTTCCTTCCTTCCTTCCTTCCTTCCTTCCTTCCTTCCTTCCTTCTTCACACCTACCCTCCCTCCCTCCTGCCTTCTATCCTTCCTTATTTATTTATTTACGGCATTTCTACCCCGCCTTTCTCTACCCCGGAGGAGACTCATCTGGAATACTGTGTCCAATTCTGGGCACCACAACTTAAGGGAGATGTTGACAAGCTGGAATGTGTTCATAGGAAAGTGACCAAAATGATCAAGGGTCTGGAGAACAAGCCCTATGAGGAGTGGCTTAAAGAGCCAGGCATGTTTAGGCTGAAGAAGAGAAGGCTGAGAGGAGACATGAGGAGGGCCATGGATCAAGATGGGAGGGGAAGTCAAAGGAAGGAGGGAGCAAGCTTGTTTTCTGCCACCCTGGAGACTAGGATGCGGAACAATGGCTTCAAACTACAGGAAAGAAGAGAGTGTTTAGAGTGGCTTGTAGGTCTTCTTCTGAATGTGCACAGTTGACATTGTCATCCGCATATTGGAGTTCTCTAACAGATGTTGTTGTGACCTTGGTTTTGGCTTTCAGTCTTCTGAGGTTAAAATAGCTTGCCATCTGTCCGACAGATGATTTCCACTCCGGTGGGAAGCTTCCTGTCAAAAAAGAAGCACCAGTAAAGCCTTGGCAGACCATGCAAAAAGAATCTGCGCAGCCCACCTTCTCCAAGATGAACTGAACCACCTCAACTGGGCTCTACAGGCCAATGGAGACTCCACCTCAGACATCAGAAGAGCTGCAAGACCAAAAACAAGCCACGAGAGTCAAGATGAAGATCCACCCAGAGGAAAAGTGTTCCTGCCATACATCAAGGGAACCACTGACCGCATAGGGAAGCTGATGAGGAAACACAACATACAAACCATCTACAGACCCACCAAGAAAATCCAACAAATGCTACGTTCAGCAAAGGACAAGAGGGATCCTCTCACCTCTGCAGGAGTCTACTGTATACCATGCAGCTGTGGACAAGTATACAGAGGGACCACCAAACGCAGCAGCATTGCCCAAACACGAATCAAGGAGCATGAAAGGACTACTTCAGCCAGAGAAGTCAGCCATAGCAGAGCACCTGATGAACCAACCTGGACACCACATATTATTTGAGAACACAGAAATGCTGGACCACTCTAACAACCACCATGTCAGACTACACAGAGAAGCCATTGAAATCCACAAGCATGTGGACAATTTCAACAGAAAGGAGGAAACCATGAAAATGAACAAAATCTGGCTACCAGTATTAAAAAAACCTCTAAAATTACAACAGCAAAACAGCAAAGAGGAAACAACCAAGCACATCTTAATACCTCTCAACAAAAGATTCCCCCAGGCTCAGCCAGGCCTTCAAATGCTAATGAAGGTGGTCAGTTGAAACATTCACACCTAGCTCCAGCAGAGAAGAGCTCTTTGTCCCACCCTGGTCATTCCACAGATATATAAACCCATTTTCCTAATTCCAACAGACCTCACTACCTCTGAGGATGCTTGCCATAGATGCAGGCGAAACGTCAGGAGAAAATGCCTCTAGAACACGGCCATATAGCCCAAAAAAACCCACAAGAACCAAGCACAAAACAGCTGAAAAGAAGGAAACCAGTGTGGAAACCACATCATCTCAATCAGTGAAGCGACAATAGTGCCACAAGGCCAGGACTGGGCTGAACCTGCCAGGTTCTCCCTTAAAGTGTGCCAAGAAAAGGGCCAAGATGACTTAAGTCAATCTAGACAAGAGGGGAATCAATACAAAGAGTAGGGCAATTTTATGTCCACTTGTGTTTCCTTCATTGTGTGAGCATTCTGGTGTCTACTGAGGACTCAGCTCTTCCCACACTCTGGGCAAGTGGATGCTTTCCCTCCTGGAAAGTTTTGTGACCTGATTTGAGGACACAGCAACAACAATCTTTAATTAATATTTATTTATTTATTTAAAAAAAATTCTATACCGATCTTCTCAGCTACAAGAGGGACTCAGATCCGGTTCACAACATGTGTTCATATACAAAAATACAAACAACACAATGCATCATCATTACACAATTAAAAACATATTACAATACAACATCGTCATCATCACAATCACATAGCCACGTTTTCAAAGCATTCCTGGTCATAATTCACAGTTATTCATTCTCCTTCCATATGGACCAAAGTTGACTCAGTTGTCAATGGCCGCATTCCATAGCCAAGTCTTTGTTAGCTTCCTGAACGTCAGGAGGGAAGGGGCAGTTCTAATCTCCTGTAGGAGGGAGTTCCAAAGCCGGGGAGTCACCATCGAGAAGGCCCTGTCTCTCGTCCCCACCAACCGCGATTGTGACAGTGGTGGGATCGAGAGCAGCCCCCCCCCCCCGGAAGATCTTAAAGACCTCGATGGTTCATAGGGTAGAATCCGTTCAGACAGGTAAACAGGGCCAGAGTCGTTTAGGGCTTTGTAGGTCAAAACCAGCACTTTGAATTGTGCTCGGAAGCTAATCGGCAGCCAGTGGAGCTGGCGTAACAGAGGGGTTGTATGCTCCCTGTACCCAGCCCCCGTTAGAAATCTGGCTGCTGAGCGTTGGACTAGCTGCAGCTTCCGGACAGTCTTCAGAGGCAGCCCCACGTAGAGAGCATTGCAGTAATCTAGACGGGATGTAACCAAAGCGTGGACCACCGTGGCCAATGGGGACTTGGGGCGGCTTACATGAGGCCAAGCCCAACAGCATATTACAATAAAATAAAACCAAAACACAATAACAACACAGTAAAAGACATACAACATATATTTATTTATTTAAGGTATTTTTACCCCACCCTTCTCAACCACCTAGAGGGGACTCAGGGCGGCTTCCAAACGGCACATATTCGATGCCTACAATTAAACAAAATAAAATACCTAACAAAATCATTAAAACATTGAGTTAATACAATAAAATCTACTAGAAAAAAAAAGCCAGCCTGGTGGCCGTCGTCTCGCCGAGTTCTGTAATTAGTGATTCTATTCAGTTTATCATAATCCGTTTCCATAGCATCTTGTCGTCATTGTCCTTGTCAGTCTGCCAGATTACCCAAAGGCCTAGTCCCATATCTATGTTTTTAATTTCCTTCTGAAAGAGAGGAGGGCTGACGATGATCTAATTTCCCCGAGGAGTGAATTCCACAGGCGGAGGACCACCACCGAGAAGGCCCTGTCCCTTGTCCCCGCAAGTCTCGTCTGTGACAAGGACGGGACGGAGAGCAGGGCCTCTCCAGAAGATCTTAAATTCCTAGGCGGGACGAAGAAGGAGATATGTTCGGACAGATACGCTGGGCGGGAACCATATAGGGTTTTATAGGTCAAGACCAACACTTTGAATTGTGCTCGGAAATGGATCGGCAGCCAGTGGAGCTGACATAGCAGAGGGGTGGTATGCTCCCTGCATGATGCTCCGGTGAGTACAAAAAACGATAAAACAAAATCATACACAATAAAATAACAATGAGCGGGCCGCATGTGCAAGATAAAATACTAAAAATACTAAAAATCAGGATGAGATAGGGATGGAGCAGATTGTGAGGGAGAAACTCATAAAGGAATGAGGGAGAAACTCATAAAAATAGACCTTCACACAGGTGGGGAAATATACTCTGGGGACAAAAACGTTGAGGGGGGGGGCATTGGAAAAGCCAGGTTTTGAGATCCCTCTTGAACATTTCTAAGGTGGGGGCCTTCCTAATCTCACCGGGTAATGAGTTCCAGAGTCGGGGGGCCACAGAGGAGAAGGTTCTCTCCCTTGTGCTTACAAGACGAGCCTGTGATAATGGCAAGGGCGAAAGGAGAGCCTCTCCCGAGGATCTAAGGGCTCAGACTGGTTCATGGAGAGAGGTCCTGTCAGAACCCAGAAGCCTTTAAACATGCCAGACACAGTTCAAATGGTAAAACACAGCATTATTGTTAGCAAAAAGTCTTGAAAAGCACTTAACTGCAGTGCTTAAGTCTGCTGGAGCAATTTGGCACCAAAAATGAGTCAATAGAGTAAACTAAAATATAATCCGGATTATAGTGTAGACTCTTAATCCAGATTAAACTAAAGATAAAGCAATTTGCTTAAAAATCAAAATGTAGCAAGAACACAGTCTATAAAGTTGAAAGAACATTGTTTCAAAACTGAAAGATGTTAAAGTCACAAAGATATTAACAAGCAAAGTCCAGGAGTCCAAAAGCGAAGTCAAACCAGTCCGTAGTGAATTCCGTAGCAAAGCAAGGTTGAAGCATAGAAGTCACTCAGGAAACAGGAACACAGGAGCACACCAGGCTACAGCCTAGGACCCAAGGTGGAGAGTTGGCAGATACAAGACTAATGTCCCCAAGACGACACTTTGCCTTCTGCAACTTGCCATTCCAAACTGAACCCCCTTATATCTTACAATTCATCATCGGAGCTTGATGAGCTCCCCACCCTCTCATCATCACTCCCAGCTGCTTCCAAGCCTGCAGCTGAATGCCCATCCCTCCACCTCTGCCAACGAGTATCAGGATTCAGATCCTGCCAAGAGTCCCCTGGCTGCCAATCTTCAGTGAACCCCTCAAATTCCTCACTAGAGGTGGGCTGGTTACAGATATCCCTTATGTTTTGCACATG